AAAAAAATAAATAAAAGCAAAACACAATACAATAAAAATCGCTGACTAAATAGATAATAGGAAGGAAAAAGACGGAAGCAATAAGCAATATCGAGAAACTTTTCAAATATCTGACAACAGCTTTTCATAGACAAAAAGAAAAGAAAAAGTTAAGCTAAGAAAAATTGAGATAAAAACTTTATTTCTTGATTTTTTTCGTGTATGCGCTCACTTTTAAGGAAACGGAAGTTAAGGTGGGAATCGGGTTCGGGAGCGCATTTAAGAGGTAATTAAAGTTGAAGAAGGTGGATGTTGTTCGAATCCTTATCATTTCAACAGCACTGTGTAACTATTCAAAGATCAGCTTTAACTGGGAATCGAACCCACGTCCTTACAAATAAAGGATATTGATTATTGATCTGTTGTCTAACCACTAGTACAACAGGACCTAATCGTGCACAGTGCAGGTTCGCCTATTTATTACTCGAAACTCCTGATTCGAATCAACATAGACACCACACCTAGTACCTGACTAGAGATTACTTCCTCCCTTTAATTTAACTAAAACTTCATCACAGAATTTCTGTCATTAACAAAACTCTTCCGTTCCCCAAAAAACCTGTTCAATAAAAATTAAGTGAAAGAAGAAGCAACGAAAAAAAAAAACTTTTGAGACAATAAGCAGAAAATATTAAATATTCTCAACTCATCTTTGATGAAAAAAAAATAAAAAAATAAAACTTGATCTTTTGTATGAAAAGTAGTTGTCGATAAATTTCATCGTTAAAAAACATGTTTACAATCTGACGTCGAGAGGAATCGAGCGTGAAATTAGGATAGAAAGAAATTTATATAACTAGTGATGGGAGCTGCATAGTGATGACTTTTCTTGTGATTTGAATTTTAATGGGATTTTATGTTGATGATATTAATGAGAAAAGAGGATGATTGAAAAATATTGATTTTGAAGATAGTGGAAGCAAAGTATTCAACACTCAATGTTCTAAAAGCAGGCAACTTAATTCTAATCTAGATAAAGTATTCAGCGTTCAATGCCCCAAAAGCAAGAGACTTAATTTTACTCTAGTAAAGTATTCAGCGTTCAATGCCCCAAATGCATGAAACTTAATTTTACTCTAGTAAAGTATTCAGCGTTCAATGCCCCAAAAGCAAGAGAGTTAATTTTACTCTAGTAAAGTATTCAGCGTTTAAGGCCCCAGAAGCAAGAGACTTAATTTTACTCTAGTAAAGTATTCAGCGTTCAATGCCCCAAATGCATAAAACTTAATTTTACTCTAGTAAAGTATTCAGCGTTCAATTCCCCAAAAGCAAGAGACTTAATTTTAATATATTAAGATATTCATCGAATATTTTAGAATGACTAGTGTCATCAAGGTTCTAATCTTAATTCCCCTAAGTGACTCGTTGCAATGCTTGTCATAAATATTTCAATATTTAATTAATTTTATTAAGAAATGTCAATTTGAAATTTTTCAATTTTTATCAAATTAATAAATGTCATTCTTAACTCCATCTTTTGATTGCAAAATATATATGCTAATAATTCATCTGTGCATCACAATGATTTATAGTTTATTATTCATCAATGCTTTCAATTGAGATTCTCTAGACGGAAACGACTCGAAGTTAATAGACTAGAAGAGATGAGAATTAATAATTTTGCTTTTCGCCATAAACTACCAATTAATAACATCGCCATCATCATCATCTTCCATCCATATTCCCATTCAATTATAAGATATTGAACAGATTTTCAATTATTTCTTATCTATACATTTGTACATGTACAAAGTCAGATATATTGAACCATAAAGTGACAGAGGGAAAAGTTAGAACAATAAGAAAATTCCATTTACTCTCCAATTATTTTCTGTGTGTGTGTATGTATGCGCTAAGGAAAATTGAAGGCATTGTATTGAGTAAGGCAAGACTCAGAGTTCTGTGAAAATTAATTTCAAACGCTCTATCGCTTCCATTGCAATCGATGTAATGGAAAATTGCTGTAAAAACACGTCTGGTTAATATGAGATGGGAAGTTGAAAACGGGGTTGAATCTATTGATTGCAATTTAAAAGTCATTCGGTTATGTTTATAGTGTACACATTATGTAGTGTCGATATAGAGGAGATAGGAAGATACTCAATATAAATTGAAATGCTAGCAATTGAACGAATTTTTTTTAAAATTACCTGAAGCTTCATTGATGCGAGTCGGACTACTTAATTAATTAAATTGCGAGAAAAATGTTCATTCAATAAAATTTTCAAATGGCATCGATGGTTGTTGGTGTCATGATGGTCATGGAGGGAAGTTAATTTTATCAGGAAGTAACTTTGTGAGTTGGAAGGTTTTCTGAATTGAAATTTATTGATTTATCGTTCAGTAAAGTATCTTAAGTAGGACATAATGGTAAGGATGTAGGCGAGAGTTGTTTGAAGAATCCATCGTTTAGGACTGAAGAACTTTTTGTTTTTGGACCTAATACGAAGTCAGATATAAAGACCTTATTCAAAGGAGCTTCCACCAGGTTGCATTATATTATGTCTAGCCCATCGGAGCCTGTTCACTTTAATTCCTTTTACCATATCAGCTGGAGGGTTCTTGCCACTGATAAATTTAGGGAAGGTGGTTAGCATTTGTCATCCAAAAACCCCAGCAAATTGAAAAAAGTTTTCAAAATAGGAGGGGGGGGGGGGGTTGTGTACCCTTAAAAAACACCCTTGCTATGATTCTGGTTCTTGCAACTGAATGTCATAAACTTAATTATTCTGAATCAAATCAAGTTTTTCTAGAATTTAAGGTCGATTCTCTACTACTTAATCAGCTGATAACACTTATTCATTTGGGATGGGTTGGAAGCTTTATAATTTTTTTTTGGATGAGCCATCATTAAACTGCCGAAAAAATCAATCAGCTACCTTCCAAGAATGTTTTCAGTATTTTATTCAACCCCACAAGATGTCAGACCATAAAATAACACGATAAAACAATTATCGACGGTTATTCCTAGAAGGTGAGTAGCAGATTTTGAAGAAAAATTGACCATCCATCAAATTATTTTGAGCTTTTCCCTACAATAAATTATTTTGTTGTCCTTTTGTGGTAGATTTCTATCAAAATCGAGACAAAATAGACACAAAAAAAATCCAATCAAAAAATGTAAATCAACCAAAAATAAATCGCCTCAATATTCAGTCCATTATAATGCTCAAACAAAAAAGCTCATATCGCATCATAGTTGAAAAAAAAAATACTTTTTATGCATTCATTTATATTTCATATCAAAAATCTATTGAATGCGAAGTTTGTGTGTGTACTCATGTATATGCTTTATGTGTCGCATGTAACACAAATAAATCATTCAATCGGAAATGCATTTTTCGGAAGAGCAAAAACGGAAGAATATATCCTGATAGAAAGTAAATGAATATGCATGGCTACCTAGTGATACAGATTGTATATATGCACATGTGGAAAAACAGAGGGAAGTTTGAGAAAGGAAGTGAAGTGATTTTTTATAAGCGCATGTTTGGTTCTACTGAAAGGAGTCTCGTACTGTATGTTAGTGGCCCAGATCTAAGGGCAAGTGAACGAAAGGGTCGACCGGGACTATAACCCAAAAGTCAACATCCACAAAAGCCAGCATAAACAGAAGAAAAAAATTCCCATTTTTCCCTCCACATACAATTTCAGCAAAGTAAAACTTTCATATCAATTTCATTTCAGTGGTCATATCCAATGAATGTATATTGCTCATAAAATTTTCTATTCCATTCCATTCAATTCAATCAGCAATAGAGAGAAAGGCAAAGGATGTAAAAAATAAAAGTTTGTTTCTTGATAAAATTTTTTGAAATAACAATGGCACATAAATCAGTGAGATGGAAATTGATCCACTCGAAGACAAAATGGAATAGAAAATGGTAAAGTTGCAATTGAAAATTGGCAGAAGGAACTGAAAATGGCAAATGTAGACTCTTCAACTTACAGTTCATTGAACCTTAAATTTTATTTTGTTCCTATTTTTTTGAATTTAAACTTACTTACTTCTTTGGCTGGAGTGCACGTAGCTCATTGCCACGCTTAGGGATATTAAGAACCAGAGCTCGAAGTCGACTCGATTTGACTCGAAAAAAATGAAGTAGACTCGAACCCTATCGACTTCGAGCTCTGTTAAGGACTCTAGCGTCATTTTCTACACATCCAATCCACGAGATCTTCAGTCTTCCTCGTGATCTCTTGCCATCCATAAAGTCTGCTACTGTCATTTTTAATACTGGAGCATCATTTGAGCGTCTGAACACATGTCTAGCCCATCTCAAGCGATTTGGACGGAGAACTTTAGCAATATCAGCTTTTCCAAATAAATGATATAGCTCAGCATTATGTCGACTTCAATCCTCTTCTCCTTCCTTCACAGGATCATAAAGCGCTCGCAGTATTCGTCTTTCGAAGACACCAATTGCTTCCTCATCCGCTTGTGTTGAATTCAAGGTTTCCGAACCATACAAGTCAATAACTGATTATTTAATGTTTCAATATGAATTAATGCATCATAAAATAAGTTTCTTATTTAAATAGTCTCGACAAACCTTTTCATACATCTCCATTAACTGCCATTTACCTTACCGTCTCTACATTTTCCATTTCTAACATCCATTAGTCCTACTTTTGTGAATTCATACAAACAATTTGTTCTTTTGTATATTTGCCCAATACACACATAAGCCATAAAAAAAAGTAAGAAACTTTCTCGTCTGCATTTTCAAAAGACGGAGAAAGGTTGAATTGAATTTTCAGCATTAGTGATTTCAAATACAAATATTCCATTATAAATTCGTCTTTACAAATAAAGACATAAACATACAACTCGATAAACGAGACAAGAAATAAGTTGAAGGAGACAATTTCATTGGATTTAACTGAGTGGAAAATTTCGAGAAGAAAATAGGAAATTTAAATGTTAAGCTGGGGAAGGTGTTCATAGTAAAAACAAATTTACTCAAAAAATATTAACTTTATTTCATCAATTTCTACTCAAAAAAGTATTAACACGATAACTAATTCCAGTTACTTCCTCAATCCATCGAGTATAAAAAGAGACACCAATATAAGCATTCGGATATCTTCCAGGTGTACTGACACACTCATTGCCATTCCTAAATGACGAAATACCGACAACAACTCGATTCACAAGCAATGGAGCACCTAAGTCACCAGCACAGACAACACTCTCATCCATAGCACAAATGGTGTTGAAAAATGGATATTTTGTCTCACCAGCAGCTTCAATGCATTCAGCTTGCGAAAGTATTCTTAGATTTGCTCGATGGAGGACTTTGCTGCGGACGTTGGGAGCCTAATTTGGATGAAGTGGAATTGAGATTAATTTTGAAAAATGAACATGAGCAATATTAGGAGCACCCTCCACCGGGGAAGGGGGGTCGGTAAATTAATATCTTAATAAAGTCAACTCACCACATCACCCCAACCTGCAAATTAAGAAACAAAAATTAATGGTGAAATTTAGTTCAAACCTTAATTTTTTACAGCTTTTTGTCAATAAAAATAAATTTATCAAATTTCTGTCTACACCCATTAAATGACGAATGCTGTTTATTGTTTATTACTATCAAAAGTGACGTGCAAAAAAAATGTAAGAGTGTGACTAATCTATCAAAATACAGCGTAAACTTGATAACAACAACTTCCACAATATCACGGAAATGCTTGACAATACCGCAATCAATGATAATAATGCCAATCAGGTGCGTAGCCAGGAATTTGAAGAGGGGGGGGGGACAATTTTTTTTGTTTGCAAAACTTTTTTTTGGGGGGGGGGGGGGGATTTTTCCAGATTTTCATAAAAGCTCTAGCAAAATGAAGAAATTTCTCAAGAAGAAGGGGGATTTGTCCCCCAAATCTCCCCGCTGGCTACGCGCTTGATGCCAATTATTAAAAGGGCTGTTCTGATGTTACATAACACTAAAAGCAAGTTTCTAGGAGAAAGGAGCTCAAGGTATCCCCTCTTCCCCAACTCTGAAACATAAAAATCTTTAAATAATTGAAAAAAAAACCAACAAATTTGCAACTGGAACTGTCATAATTTTGCATTAATTGCTCTATTCCAAACTTTTGAACAACGGCACAGCTAAAGAGTCCATGACCGAAGTCACATACAGCATGCAGCTCATGTCAGTTTCAAAAAATTTCAACGGCACACTAGTGTGCCGTAGTACACATTTTGGACAACACTCTTCTACTAAAACCTACGGAACTTACGAACAACGCTCAAATATCAAAACTTTACGAAACTTATGAACAACCCCAAAAATCACAAAAAAAACATCGTCTAAGACTGCAATTCTCAGTCGATAACCCCAAATTATCATTTCAAATATAAAAATTTCTACATACCTGCATGTGTAGCAACCATTCCACTCGAAAATCTGGCACCACTCGAAGCGATATGTGCATAAGCTTCATAGAAGTCAGTAAGTCTAATTTCCGATGTGGATTCAATAATTACAATGTCATTCTCGATAGTTGTAAAATTGAAATTCGGATGAAAAATTATTTTTGAGACTCCGACAATGTTTTGCCTCGTTTTATTTCCTGGATTAATAACTGAACTTCCATATTCGATTGTCAAGAGTGAAATGTTGCGATACGAATTACATCGACCGGATGAGAGGCTGAATTTTTCACTTATTAAGGATCCTGTGCAGAGATGAACGGAACCTTGTTGAATTGATATCTGTGGGATAAGAATTGATTAATTTTGTGGACAGTTATTATAGTTTGGGAGTTTGTGGTACCAAAAACGGAAGTTCTGCAAATTGAACCTCAGTTCCAGCCGACATAAAAGGAGAAATTTCGATATTTGATTTTGCTAATGCAATAAAGCTGATTAATAGAACTGACAAACTTATAAAATACATTTTTTTCTTGTTTTAATTCTTCAATGGTTAAATTAATACTAAACCATTGATGCAATTAAAGAAAATAATACAGCAAAATAATTATGATAAGGTCGTGCTTATCAGCTTTATTGTGAATTTAATAAACTCAGAAATTGATATGGAGGGTCAATCACTTATTACGTTGAGGTAAGAAACAGGGGATTATGGTTAATCTAGTTTCAAACAATAATCCTAGTTGTGGAACTAGAATGGTGGTCAAAACCTTTTTGTTCCTATTCTCTTAGCTTTGTAATTTTTCTTATAGTTTTAAAGATAATTAAATGGTGATTGGGAATCTAGACCACTCTCGACTACGTACTTGCTCAAATCTACAATTTTCTTAACTTTTTGACGTCATTTAAGCACGACTGTAAGCCTTTCTTATGAAAAAACACACACCTTATTGCTTTAATGTTGATAAACTTTATCATTGAATTGCGAACACAAGGTTAATAACTTTCTTTGTATCTGCAGTCATTATCAGTACTTCCGACGGGAAATCATCTTCTTCTTTTATCAAATTTATTGCATGTTGAGTAAACGAAACAAAAATAAATCTTCAGGCTATTCTTCTTACTTGAGTCAACTTCGAGGCTTATTCTTTTGTGTCATGCGCCATCCAAGAGACTAAGTCAATCTACTAAAATGAAAACTATTTCTAATTTTCAACAACAAAATTATCTTTTCAATATTTCACACTTATTAAATATAAATTTGCTTTCAAATTTAGCATGAAAAGAGGAAATGGGTTAACTAATTTCAATTTACTGCATAGAAGTGGCACAATTTTTAATAAAAATCTCTATAAAATAAGCTACTTTCCATTAATTTTCAACAGTTCTATTTAATCTCTAAATAAATTAAAATTAACAATGACTGGAAAAATTGGGAGCATTTTAGTCATTTTGGTTGTAAGTTGATTTGAAACAGAGCTCGAAGTCGAGGCGAGTTGATCCTATCGACTTCGAGCTCTGATTAGCATCAATCATAAAAAATTTAAACTTAATCTAAACTTTAAAGTTTTCATAAAATTTATCTGAGGCATAACCAGAATTTTATAATGTTCAAGTGGACTATAATCAATTTATAAACTCCCTAACATCATATTAGACTCTGTACGAAATTATAAAGTCTTTTAAAAATATTAACTCATGCAAAATATTCTCAACAGCTTCTTCAAACATCTATAAGAGTTCAAGGTAGCGAAACATGCGAGCAAAGAGCTGAAAAAGCAGTAAATGTCCATGTAAGAACTTTAATATAATTTCTATCTTTAGAAAAATAATCTGAATAAACTGAAAATTATTTCAGAAATGCTGCACGATGCCATCAATTGCGAAAATAGAAACTTTAAAGGCTGTTGTTGACGATCTAATAAAAAATGTTGATCCAACGTCCTCGAAATTCCATTGTGTAAATTTTTTTCAATAATTAATCTTTACCTCCAATAATTATTGAATTTTTAGCTTTTTGCATCAAAACTATTTGAAGCACTTAACCTTAAAGATTTTGATAAAGCAACTTACAAAGCATATATGCCAACTATCGTCCAAGATCCAGAATGGCTGACAATATATGAAAATGTTACAAATCATTGTGTTGATAATTTATCAAAATATGAAGAATTTTATGGTAAAATTTTTAAACTTCCAAAAGAGGAATGTGATGTGAGATATACTGCATTTTTGGATTGTGTTATGGGCACTGCCTTTGTGGTTTGTAGTTTTTTTTTTGAAAATTGTTTCAAATTTTGTAAAAATTTTACAATTAATTTTCTTTTGATTTTGACAGTTTTGCCCAGCAAAAAGCTTCACTGACTCCACCGAATGCAAGGGTACCAGAAGCTTTTTAACTGAATGTTATGAAAACGATCATGCTATGGATATTTATATCAAAAATCAAATGAAACTTCCAAGTTAATTTAAAATAATTGGTTTGAAATTGAACAGGAAAATAAGCTGAAACAACTTAAATATTGAATAAAATGAATTTAAAAGCAAAAATGATTAATTAATAATATGGATATATTCCAGTATTGGGATACAGAACACCTGTTACAGCCACAGCCTGTCAACAGGTAAATGACAGTTGATTGCCTGTGACAGATCACAACTCTGACATATCTCGAACTACTCAAAGCATAAAATAAAGATTTTTTGGTCTAAAAATTCAATTAAAGTTATTGCTAGAGGTTTCGAAGCTAGTCCGCATCAAAGATATTGTTATGAGCAAATACTAATTTAAGTAAGTATTCTGCCAAGCTTTTAAGCTATTCCCCGATAGCCCAGTGGTAACAGGATGCGACTCCAATTTATAAGACGCAAGTTCGATTCCTCTCGCAACAAGTTGTTGTGAATTCAACCTTTTCTGCTTAATATTCAATATATGATCTATCGCACAAATTAGAACTGTTTATTATTAATTCATCATCAAAATCAAATAGCAACTCAAAACGTGTAAAATTTACATGGATATGTTCCTGTAAAACATCAATCAAAAGCAGTTTTTTAATTTATTTTAAAACAAGGTTTTAATAAAGTTTGAAATATTTTTCATTACTCTTTGTAATTCAGAAATTAATAGTTGGAGATTTTGAAATTATGAAGACAATTTCAATCGTAACTTTAGTTTTTGGTGTAAGAATTCTTATTATTTTCTTATCAAGGCTTGGAAACTCAGGATTAATCCTGAAAAATCCCAAAATCAAAAAAAAAAATCTTTGAAAAATCTCTTAGCCAATAAACATGAAAATATCCTGGTGCATTTGATGAATAATTTCGGAATTTAAAATGGTTTTCACATTTTCATGGTTACTGGCTAAGAGATTTTTCAGGATTAATTCTGAATTTCCACGCTTTGGTTCTTAAAATTGTAAAATTAAAATTAATTTGAACCTAGTTTTTTTTAAATAAAAAACAAAAATTGTATTCCAGATAGTATTTGCAAGTACCATAGATGAGCAGTGTATAGGTTGGGCTAATAAAACTGTATCAATCGATGTAAGTAGATTTGATACTTATCTTAATTCGCCAATCAATTGGATTCATCATCACAACTTAATCTTGACAAAATAGACAATTTAAATATTGAATAAACCTTAAATTTTACTTTAAGAGTTGCTGCAAATTGACACCAATATTTTCATACGAAATAAAAAGTTTGGCTTTAGAAGAACTTCCAAAGAATGTTCCTGAAAACTCAACAATTTACTTTTGCGTAACTAAATTTGATTTCGATTATTTCATAATTTCAAATGTTCATCAATTTTTGTTATAATTTCAGCACATAACCCAAAAATTCTTCGAAAAAGCAAATGTCACGTCATTTGAACAATCAAGCATGAGAAATTATTTTGAAAAGGCTATTTTGGATCAAGACTGGCTAACAATTATGAAAAATGCTTCTGATCATTGCATTGAGTCAGGCTTAAAGCATGCTGAAGCAGCTCAATTGAAATTAAATGTCGGAAAAGAAGAGTGTGATGCTCGATTCCTTTACTTTTTTGAATGCTTCGTTTATTACACAAAACTGGTAAGAGATCGTTCATTTTTAGATGAGGATGTCTAGCTCAAATTATTGACTTTATGAGACAAATAAAATTTATTTTTTTAAAGTACTGTCCAGACAAAGGCTTTATAAGCTCTGAAAAATGTTTGGAAACGAGACGATTTTTGGAATTATGCTCTGACAGTCAAAAAGCTATTGAAGCATATGCTGGCGTACACAAAAGTACTTGAAATATGTAGAAAAAATTGAAATAAATAAAAATTATATTTTAGTATGTGACATGATTGTATGAAGTCCAAGAGTGCGGAACTGATCAGTTCCGGTTCTCAAATGATCAAAAATGATCAAAAACTATCAAAAAATTATCAAAAATGATCAAAATCTAATTTATCAGTTCCGCACCCTTGATGTTGATTGTTAAATCGGAGTCAAGAGGACGACGTTGATTAGAGTTTTGTATTTAAATCATGTTAAGGGCCCATCTTTTTGAGCTGGAGCAAGGAAAATTAAAACAGAATCTATAGGGCTCGTGTTGAAACTGGTTGTATGTGTATGACGGATAGCCGAAGTGAGTTAAGCACCTTGGTAACTGAGTGGCAGGGATCTCTGATCGAGTTGACAGAGATCGACACTTTTGAGGTCGTGTGTTCGATTCCTATCGAATCCGACTTATACCACATTAGTATACACATTTTACAATTTTTAGGGAGATCTACATGCACCACACCATGTTAATCTACACTTTATAATGGAATTTGAACTACTTGCAAGTGGTTTTGTATTTAGTCGAGTTGTCTTTAATTTTTAATACTGTGTTTGTCCAACGCTAAATACTTGTACAATATTGAACAATTGTTTTTTAAAATGTTTTGAACAATGATTCACGTTATTTTCTTTCGATAACAGAAGTGTGTTAAGGTCGTTCATAAATGACGTTTACTTTTTAGGGGGAGGTGCCAAATGAGGTTAAATTCGACATTTGAAGGATATTGAGGGAGTGTGAAAAACTCAGAACCCCGTCAATTATGAGCAGCCCCGTTGCAAACATTTGTTTTAAATAATTTGAATCATATTGTTTTACAAAATTTGTTTTCAACAATATTTCATTAGTCACTCGTTGATCAAATTTAGTAAGAAGTGGAACCAAATTTTATTCACATGAAGACTTTTATTATTCTGCTTGTTATTTGCTGTGTAAGTATTTGGAATTCTAAAACTCTCGTCTAGAAGAGGCATGCTCATTGGGAAACCTTCGACATATATCCTTGTAGAACTGGGATACACCCTAGAATTAAATTTCAGTGTCCTTTTTTTTGGCAAGAGTGTATCATAGTATCTAAGGCATTTGAGTCAATGTCTAAATTAATAATTTCTTTTAAAGCTTGTTAAAATAATATCAAACCAGCAAGATCAATGCGTCAGATGGATTAATAAAACCATACCAATTACAGTAATATTAAAACTTTCTAACCCGAATAGCAAAAGTCAGTCAATCAATCAGAAATCCAGCTTCGATTTAAATCCAGAACCATGCCAGAGTCATGCCGACTTTATACCGGTTTTCTGATTGATTAACAGACTTGTGCTTTTCGGGCAATTGACTGTGTTTGACAAAATAAATCCTTCTTAATTTAGGCATGTTGCAAAATAACAGCTTTATTTCCAAGCAATGCACAACATCAAGTTAACGACGAGTTGAGTCAGGAAGAAAAAGAACAAAAATCTTTTTATTGCGTGCGTTCAATTCATTGATTTTCAAATTTTTAACATCTATTTAATCATAAGATTTATTTCAGAAATTTTGGCAAAAGATGTTTGAAAAATCAAACGTAACATCTTTAAACCAAGCCGACATCGTTACTAATTTTGAAAAAATAGTGACTGATCGTGATTGGTTGGGAGTAATCAAGAGTAACATCCAAAAATGCATCGATTTCAGTTTTAAAAACGTCGATTCTTATCAAATTAAAATAAATGCAACAAAAGAGGAATGCGATGGTGTATTTTGTCAGTTTATGGACTGCTTGGTGTTGCTTTTATCAATTGTAAGTATTATGGGCTAAGCTATTTTGAGTTTTGTTCATTTTTTAATTTACAGTACTGCCCTGATAAAAGCTTCATGAATTCTGACCAATGTTTAGACGTTCGAAAGTTCTTTCATTTGTGTGGTGAAAATAAAGCAGCTGTTGATGATTATATTAAAGTTCATTATAATATATGAATTAGTGCTGCAGGTACCTGAGGTCTGCATACATATTCCAAAGCTCCTCAATTTAATATGATTTATTTTGAATTAAAAGTGTTAAATTGAAATAAAATTAAAATTAATAAAACTGAGTTAATCTTTACTTTTTGTAATCAATTGTTTGAGTTTCAGTTGACTAAGAATAATGAATAATCAGTTTAGCATGACAAACAAAGCTTAATTTGACCCTTAAGTGCTAATTCTGGAACAATGTTAACAGAAACAGACAAAAAATATCAATTTTAATTTTGTCGACCAAAATTCATTGACTCTTTAAAGCAGAGCGGAAAGCTAAATCAAATAAATATCATGTTATTATTATGAGTTAAAATTATATGTTTATAAATTTGCTGCACAAATTTGTCCATAGGTTAAGGAAATAATTTATTTAATAAAACGATTTGAAATGAATAAGTTCACAATTTTGGGAATTTTTGCAATTATTTTGCTTAGATTTCAAGCATTAGCAGACAAGAGTTGCATAGCAGCTGCAAATGCAAGTGAACATTTTTTTTTTTTTTCATTTTCATTTTATTTTTTAAACCATTTCGGTTGTAATCCAAATAATTTCATTTTCATAATTAAATCACATTAATTCATTTTATACTAATTCACAAAAACTTAATATCTAATCCAGAGTGGGCTCAAATTCAGATATTTTTCCACCAAGTCTAGAAAAAATAGAAGTTGCTCCAGAGCTATGAGCAGCATTTTTGCTTGTAGCTTCATCTGGTGATACCTTTTTGCTTATTTTAATTCTTTTGGCTTTTGAAAAATCATTCAGTTCAGCTGAGATCAGATCAATTTTACTCAGTAAAGTCACACTTTCGGATGCAGAAGATGATGAGAACTTATTTTGAATTTCAGTCGCATCCTTCACCAAGAACGCATGCACTGTTTCAGAGGAAAATCTAGGCATACCAAACGTTTTATTCAAATCGCTCAAAATTCTTCCTGAGAAGCCATCATTATTAATTATTATTCTTGCGCAATATGAGCTAGAATCAGCACAAGACTGAAATTTCAGTCCAAAAATAACATTAAATTTACTTGAAAAAATATTTTGCAAGGCAGTATATATTTCATGCATAGTGATTCGATCACTGATCTTAAATTTACCTAGCAAAAGATTATATATGTTGCCGTTATGGAAACCATACAGAGCATGAGAGCTCTTACAGGAGAGATTAACAAACTTTACATTTGGAATTATCACTAGAAATAAGAGCGAGTTTTCTATCAATAAGGGAAATTTCCCGTCACAAATATTAATAATATTGTCCACTGATTTCTGATTCAATAATTTTCTCCCCAGACGATCCTCGTAGATTCGGATCAAGTAACTCTTAAGAGAGTTATCGATCTGAACCTCGACCAAAGCGCTGGAAGAATCATTAAAAAAGAATCCAGTCACATTCAATTTTACAGAATCATTATAATACTTCAAGATTTTCTCACGATACTTATCGACTGGCAATTTGCCTTTTCTTATTATTTTTAGCAAAACGCTTGAGTTACTACATCCAAATTCATTAGACTGGGGAGATTCCATAAATTCACTAGGTTCTGATGGTTCAGTTAATTCTTCTTCGAGGATTAAATCATCGCAATTTATGTCAATTTGCAAAATATCCTCTTCCTGCTCTTGTAGGCTCATTGCGTGCGAAAAGACTAATTAACCAACAACCAGTTAGACGACCTTTGATGTTTTATAATAAAAGGAAAAGAAGAAAAAGAAGAAAAGAATTTAAATTATTAATAATTTTGTAGATAAATACTACGTAGCAGTCTAAATACTGAGCTACACAAAAAAATTCAAAAATAAAAATTAACGTTAAAGATTAAACGTTCTGCTTGTAAATTGACCATGCTTGATGAGAGACTTGTTCCTTTCTGTGATGAACTTATTTAGCTGATTCTTAAATAAACTTATGTTGTTTTCTTTCTTGATGTCATTAGGAAGCTCATTAAATAGTCGACAGCCAATGTGGGTAATATCATTGACTTTAATCTTTTTATTGTTGCCAGAACTTAGAGCCAGATTAAATTGTCTCGTGCTCCTAAGCTTTCGAATAATTGGAAGTGAATCATCAGTACAAAACAGCGACTTTTTCACCATCATCAAGGCTGAGTAGTAAATTAGGCCACAAACACACATAATTTCTTTAGCTTCATTTGTAAAGAGTTCAAAAGATGAATGCGAGTCTGAAAGATTGAAAATTACTCTTAAGGCTTTAGATTGCAGTCTTTGAAGTCTCTCGATATCCATTGTCCTACACCTCAATAGAGCAAACGCGCAGTAACTTATTTGAGATTGAATATGCGCATGAAAAAAATTCAGTAACGCATGAGTCGATAAATTAGTTCTTAAAAATCTTAATGCATTAATTCCTTGAGCAACAGATTTACAGATTTTATCTATCTGTCCTATTAATTTTAGTTCTGGGTCAATAAGGAAACCAAGATACTTTAACTCATCAACTTTTTGGATAGAATATCTCTCGAGTATTTCACTCAAATATGATGTATCCGTGCCAATTAATAAATATTTAGATTTATCACAATTAATTTTCAAATGATTCATTTCATAATAATCAGTAATACTTTTTAAGTCATTCTTCAAGTATTCACTATCCGCATCAGGCTGATTGACATCAATTGGAAAGACTGCCATCAAATCATCAGCATATCTATAAAACGTTGAATAAGTGTCAAGAGAAGATAGGTCGTTGATTAGTAGATTAAAAAGCGGAGGACCAAAGCAGCTGCCTTGAGCAACGCCTACATTATAAACACCAATATGGCTCATGGAATCACCAAATTTAACTACTTGTTCTCTGTTCGATACGAAACTTTTAATTAAATCATATGCTGGACCACGTATACCCATGAAGTTTAATTTTCTTAAGAGAACTTTGTGACACACCGAGTCAAACGCTTTTTGTATGTCAAAGGATAGTAATAACACAGCCTTTCCAGAATCAACTATTGTGCTGATTTGATGTAGAATCATACAAAGAGCGTCATTACAGCCTTTTCCAGATCTAAAGCCATATTGCAGTTTATCCATTATATTATTTGTCTCAAAAAATTTGCTCAATTGACTACACATTGTAGATTCAAATAATTTATCAATTTGTGGTAGTAAGCTGATGGGTCTGCAATTATCTATTTCGAGTACACTGCTGTTCTTGGGGATCGGCTTGACAATCGCCATTTTTAAACGTTTTGGATACTCTCCAGTCCTAATCATTTTATTAAATAAATTGGCAAGATGAGGACTTAATCCTTCAGCGCAACTTTGCAAGACTCCAACAGTTATTTTGTCATATCCAGGTCCTTTTCGACGGTTTAAAGCTCCAATATCTAGAAATATAGACTCAGGTGTGATTTCCTCAAAAACAAAAGTATTCATAACTGCTTGACCAATATAAACATGATTTTGGATGCTGCATGTCTTTTCATTAGCTCTAAATATTTCCAGGAACTTTTTCTGAAAAGAGTTAGCAATTTCAGATGAATCGATAAGAAAATTACCATTTGAGTCCTTGATAACTGCATTTGATGATTCTCTTTTAGTGCGACCAGTCATTTCATTTATGTATGTCCATGCACTGTTTAAGTTATCTATTTCAGCTTTGCGATAATATATTCTAGACTTGACAGTTGCATATTCATCTCTTATCCTATCAATGTCATCAAATTTTTCCTGCAGTTCATCGCTTTCCAGTCCATTCAATTTTCTTTTCATTATCTTTTCTTCAAGATTATAAAGGCAATTCAACATCTCACAATAATTTTCGTCAGCCCATTTTGGTAACGTTAATTGAATCTTTGGTAATTTAACGCTTAAATTTTTTGTGCCAGTATCAATTGCTTTCATTAGTGAATTATGAATTGTATTAAAATAGACATCAATTGAAGAGTTATTCAAATGTTCTGTTTCCACATTAATCAACAGTAAATCACTATAAAAAGTGTCTCTAACTAATTCATTATTAACTCTTTGAATTTTCCGTATTTTACTTTTAACCGTTGTGGATGTATCTAATTTAATCATCAAAAGTAAAAAATTATGATCTGATATTAAATTAATGCACTTTGACGTAATAATCATTAATTCTTTTTGGAAAGTACTCGTTATTAAGTGATCAATAAGTGATCCAAAACCAGCTATTGGATTACGTCTCGTAATCGCTTTATTTATGACAGATAAATTAAGAGATGCCAATAGTTCCAGATAATTTTTGCATTCTAAATCGTTTTCATTGAAAAGATTCAAATTCATATCCCCAGTAATGATTAATTTATCATTGTTAACTTTAAGTGTCAGTTGTTCTATTACCGACAAAAAAACACCAAAATCACCACTGGGGGGTCTATATATTGAAAGGACATGCCATTCATCATTTCCAACAACAACTTTGACTAAAAGGCATTCAACATGAACATCAATGCTACTGTCAACTATACATGATTTATAATTTTTATGAACAAATAGCAAAATTCCACCGCCTTTCCTGTTATCATTACGATTAACAGTAAAACTATTATAATTTTTTATAGCGAATGTATTAAACTTATTTATATCGTTACGCAACCATGTTTCTGTAAGTGATATTAAATCAATGAAATAATTTTTTTTAGTGCCAGTAACTGTAACAGAAGACATGTTATTCACACTACCAAGAGTAGAGTTTCTAGACCATTCATCCAAATACTGTTTAATAATATTGAGCTTTTTATTTGTAAGGCAATGCACATTCCATGCTAGCAAATTAAGAAAAGGAAAAGAGAAGCAATCATTATCTTTGAATTCTTTGAGAACTTTATAAGTATTAAGAATGCTACAATTAGATTCTAAAAATTCTTTCTTCTTATCGAGAAGGAACATAGAAATTTTGTCACTTTTCTCGTTAGCATTAGGAATTACAGGAGGACGAATGGGCTTTGTTAATTGTCAGCATGATGGTGTATTACTGGATGTTGGATTAACTGGTTCCTCATGAACAGCACTCAATTGCTTCATTGGCATGCTTGATGCAAATTTATCTTTATGTGACTTCCTGCCACAATTGTTCATCTTGAAATAATTGCTGTCGTAAAATTGGAATGTTGATATATTGCATGCGACATCATTAATATTGACTCTCAAAGCATTAAGGTCTTTTTCATTCCTTACCAAAACTCTTATAGTGTCATCTTTAGCCTGAGAATTATTCTTATCATTCCTTTTATCATAAGCCACCAGTACACCAGTGTCAGTTACTTGAGCTTTATCTATTAGCTTAAAATTAACCAGATCATAACACACACGAAGGATTTTCCATATTTCCTGGCTCCAATTATCACGCACAGTATATCGCACAGAATCATAATTTTTGTTCAAATATTGTGTCTTAACATATTCCATTATAAGGCGTTTCAAGTCACGAACAATATAGGAGTTCATAAATTTTGCGCCAAGAATAAGCTCATTTTTATATTCGCCATCAATCTTTACTGTAACTTTTTGAACATTAACGTCCAAAATCATTCTATTCGAGCTATTAGTCCAGATATTCATTCGATTTAAGATATTCTTCGTCTCACGAATCAAATCAGGTCTATTCTTTAACCTTAGTTTTTCCACTTCACCAGGATCAACAAAACTAATCCACAAGGTATTGCTTTCCTTTGTACATTTTTGCGAGATTTCAATTGCTTTAATTTTCTCATCACTATTTTCTTGTACCTCATCAATCTTTTTGTATAAGTCATTTTCCAAAGACACTATTTGACCATTCAAGCGATTAATTCTGGTTGCATTATCACTATTAATTTTTTGCAGCGCTTCACGTGAGTTCTTATAATATTCTGAGAGACCATCAGTTAGTTTCTCAAGAATAACATAAGGATCGTTTTTATTATTGATCATTTCACGAACTAGTGCAATGTTTTTTTCCGCATCGTCACACAGAACTTCAGTTCTGTCTAACTCGGAGTCCAAGTCTAAATCCACACTCATAAAGTGCTCAGAGAATGTTGAATTTTCGACATTTGCTTCATCATTAATTGCATTAAACTCATTAGCTATACTACGACCATTAGCATTGTTAATCGAGTTACCAAAAATATTTCCTCTTTGTTTCTTAGGAATAGGAATTGATTTCTCGTGATTAATATATGGCGGAGAGGGAAGTGTTCTACGACGCTTCCTAAACTCAGTAAAAGCTGCTTTCGCTTCTATGCTCCATTTGGGAGTCTGATCATTTTCATTCAGTTTTTCCATTGATCTGCCAATTGAGTTTCTCAAGCTATATCTCAAACAGATGAAAAACAGAAGAGAAAAACAACCCAGTTTGTCAATGTTCTGAAATAAAAATGACTGAAAGATGAAGCCAAATTATGTGGATTTTAAGATTTATAATTTGTATTTAAATATCCGAATATGAAGAAAAACAAGGAAACAACTATATGGATTCTTGTCGAAATTTAGTTATGGGATTTATTGAGTCTTTAAGTATATTATGACATAAAATCTACCAATAACCATAGAGACAAATTTATCAATTAATTTATAACGTAATTAGCAAATTCAAATACTGAGCAACTGAGCAACTACGTATGTATGTGTGATATTTATGTCCAATTATATATTCACTTAAAAAAAAAGTACTTAGCATGCACTATGTTAATTAATCACATCAATTTCACATGAATATATCACTCATTGACTTAATACACCATTAATTGCAATAGTTAAAGCATAAATATTAAATTGTTTATTTTTTATTTTTCCACTAATACACAGACACTAAAATTTTTTTTTTTGGGTTAAAATGTTTTATGATAAATTACAAGCTCTTATAGCTTTTTAGTTCCCAAATCGATATAATTTGATATCTTTAGATCATTCTGATTCACTTTTCACTAACTGAGAGTATCTAAGACTCTGAATGAATATTTAAATAAACAATTAAGAAAAATGTCAACAATTAGACAGAAAACTTCCGCGCGAAGTTCCCAAACCAAAAATGAATCAATTTTAATTTTGTCGACCAAAATTCATTGACTCTTTAAAGCAGAGCGGAAAGCTAAATCAAATAAATATCATGTTATTATTATGAGTTAAAATTATATGTTTATAAATTTGCTGCACAAATTTGTCCATAGGTTAAGGAAATAATTTATTTAATAAAACGATTTGAAATGAATAAGTTCACAATTTTGGGAATTTTTGCAATTATTTTGCTTAGATTTCAAGCATTAGCAGACAAGAGTTGCATAGCAGCTGCAAATGCAAGTGAACATGTTCAGGTAATGATTTCAAATCAAAGGAGTGGAGCAATTAGATCTTTTCGATCAGTTTCAAATCAGAGTTGCGAGACAGGTAGCCTGTCAACAGGCAGATCATAAATCTGGTTCCAATCATTTTTTTTCTTAAAATAAAACTCAAATTGTTTTTAAAATTCATATTTTATCATCTCCTTTAGAACTGCTGTAAAGTGCCTCCAACAGGCGACCCGAAAGTTATTGAGGCTGTCATCAAAGAGCATCCAGAAGTCAACAACAATACTTATAAGCTGGGACATTGTGTAAGTTCGTAGAATTTTAAAATGCACCATTTTCAGTGTCCAACAACTGTGATAACGCTTTTAAGAACATCCTACGTCTTTAAAACTTTTCGACTACTTTGCGATGCTTGTTTGATTAAGAGTTGGTTTCCAAGGCTACCTGGGGCATCCTAGTGTAGGTTCAAATCCTTAAAAACTGGCTCCTTCTACTCTTCAGAACTGCCACAATCCGATTTTAATTTATTAAATTTTTTTTTAAAAGCTACTGGCAAAATATTACATGACCAAGTTGAATTTAACAAAGCTGAAGAGTGAAGACATCAAAAACTATGTGAGAGTAATCTTCAAAGAACCTGAATGGATAGAAGCTATGGATAGGGCAACAGACCAGTGTTTAGAGCTCCAGCCAAAATACATTAAAGCTTTTCAGAAACATTACAAAATAACCGACGACGAATGTGATTTAAGATATGAAACATTTATGGTCTGCATGATTATGTTTACATTTAAGGTAAAAACATGTTGTAGCGCTTGATTTCAGTTCAAAGACATTGAAAAAAAATTATTATATTTTGTATTTCCAGGAATGTCCATCAAAAGATGTTATAAACGTCGATAAATGCAAATCAACAAAGAATTTCTTCGAAAATTGTGTAACTGATGGCGAAGCCTTTATTTCTTATATTGAAAAACATAATATTTAACATTTTTGTACTTCCGAGAACTTTTTTGTAATAAAAAAAAATCACAAAAATTTCGACATTTGTTTAAACAAGATTTTTTTGTTCATTTTTTAATATCTAAATTTCAGAGTCTCAAATGAATTTTAGTTTATGGCAAAATTTAATCAAATAAAGATTTAAATTCAATTTGCTGAAAAATGAAGATTTTTGCGAAAAATCTTATCTTTTTGATGGTAAATTGTAAAAATTAAGGCGTAAAACTTTCGGATTTATTCTTAGAAACTTCTCCAATTTCTAGAAGTTCCATATTTTTTTTTTTGGAAACTTCCCGAAGTCTTCTAAGTGTGAACCTTGTTAAAAATATAATTTAAATTAAGGGATCGTTCACTTACGACGTCCAAGATTTAGGGAGGGGGTCTAGGATTTTGTGACACATTGTGACTGGGTAGGAGGTCAGAAAATTAGTCACATCAAATTTCGCAAAAAGGAAATCATAATTTAACCTTTGAAATTATTAACCTAACCTTTGATTGGACATCACATCTGGCATATGTGACAATTTTGTGACAAAGGAGTGGAGAAGGGTCTAAAAATCATATTTTTTGACGGACGTCACAAGTGAATGACCTCTAATATCAATCATTAGATAATTATCAAAGCTTTTTATTTTTTGTAGATTTTCCAAACAAGTTTAAATGTAAATGCACAAAAAACATGCTTGCAATACGTAAACAACACAGAATTTATTTTGGTTTGTATTGGAATCATTAAAATATATTCACAAAAATTGAAAATTTTGTGTGAATATGAAAATGATTGAAGTTCTTATTAATTTAAGCTATTGTCAACAACTCAATCATTTTCAGAACTGCTGTAAAATTCCAGACATAACTGACAAAGCTATTCTAAATGCGACTAAAATTGAGCATCGAGATATTTTTAGTGGTCCACAGGATTTAGCAAAATGTGTAAGTACAAAAACTTAGTTCCAATTTTTTCAAACTCAACCTTTTTTTATATTTTAAGCTTTTAATTAAACATTATTTTGAAAAATTACATTTGTGGAATTTTGACATAAACGAAGTGAAGCAGTATTATTTGAGCCGAACTTATTCTATGGATTGGAAAGAATCTGAAAATAGAAATTTAGATTATTGCTTTAAATATCTTCCAAATTACACATCTTATTTGCAAAAATATCACAACATTACAGAAGAACAATGCGATATGAAATATGAAGCCTTTCTTGATTGTACTGCAGTGAATGGATTCAAAGTAAAAACTTTATTTAAAGTCAATTAATTTCAGCTATTTTTGAATAAATAATTTATTTCAGAACTGCCCGCAAAACAGTATTATTAATGGAGAAAAATGTAAAATGTTAAAATATTATGTTGACAATTTTTTGGATGATCCAGAATGTTTAAAAGCTTATATTCAAGTCCATGGAATCTAAAGAGTTCGATAGCATAAAAGATTGTGGAAAAAAGTTGTTTATTTTATGCATAATCATATTGTCAATGTCAAAATTCATAGTTAAATGAAATTAAATTCTATTTATCAATTTAGTAAAGTTATAAAAACTTAAAAATCTGATGATATAAATTGATCTGAATTTAAATATTCATTCTTAGTGTTTGTTTTAAACTTATAAAGTAAGACTAGCTTGATATAGATGAAGAATCTAATAATAATTGTGTTTATTTCCACGGTAAAATTCAATTCTTTTTTCAGAAATTTTATAAAATTTAAATTGAATTTTTAAAGGTTCTTCAAGCTGTTGTAAGCGATGTTTCGAATGACAAGTGTGGAGTTTGGATGAAGATGAATACAATGAAGGTAAGATCAGATGAAATGTTGAAGTCAAAGCTATATCAGGGAAAAAGCCTGGAGGGTTATGTCCGCCACTTAAGCGTTTTGAGCCGTGCTCTTACTGGGTCTTGTTCTTACCCTTAAGTGGTTCAAAACGCTTAAGAAGGGAACAAGACTCTCCATACTACGCACCTGAGCTTTATATTGTCAAGCGAATATCCAGACAAATGATTAGAACGTCAATTACTCAGCAGTTACACTTCTTGCAAAGAGCTTATTTAAACAATATGAATAAGATTAGCTTAACTTTCATATTTCTTTTAATTTCAGAGATGCTGCGACATTCCAGATTTAATAGAAGAAGATAAAGTTCGACAACTGTATAAAAATAATAATTTGACATTATGTGTAAGTTTTTCCTCAATCTCCTTACTTAATTTTAAGTAAAATCTTTCCCATAGGCGCTGCACGAAAAAATGTCAGAAGTGCTCAACATAAAAACCTTCGACAAAACTGCTTACAAATCTTATTTGAAGAAAGTCATCAATGAATCCGAATGGCAGTCAATTTTTGACAAAAGTGTTGATTCCTGTATGGATTTTGTTCCTAAAATATTGCCTTCATTTGCTAAGACTTACAATATGGCTGAAGAAGGATGTGGCTTGAAGTTGACTTTGAGCATGTTTTGTTGGACAACGTTTGCTTTTTTGGTAAATTTTAATAGGTTTTGAAACTTTTAATCTTTGATTAATGGAATTTTTAATAGGAATGTCCAGCAAAACACTTCACAGATTCTAGTAAATGTAAGGAATCGAGAGAAATCATCAAGGAATGTCAACAAAATCCTGATGAAATAATTAAAGTGTTTAATTCATGGAGCAAGCAGTAAACAATTGAAAATTTTAATGAAATTTGTAAAAAACAGGTTTTTAAAAAAACCATTTTAAAAATTTGTTAAGCAATTAAAAAGTAAATTTCAATTAAATCTATTCGTTTCTTTAGTCAATTAGTTTATAATGTTGTTATCTAGCTTTTAACTTGATTAAGAGTGATTTGACACCTGAGAATCTATAATTTTTTATCCACTAGGGCGGTTCGCAGTTAATGCGAGTTTAACAAGTGAAGATGCACGAAATCACTGCATTCAAACTTGAGGTACAGTTTAAAGTGGATCCGATCCACTGTTTGATGACATTGCTGATTATAGCTTTTTTTGCAATAATTAGGTACCGAAAGACTTAACCATTCCACCACCAAGCCACTTTAGCTCACCAATAATAACTTTAACCTATACAAAAACAGTACCTGAAAAAGTCTGACAAATCATAAGCACGTTTAATTTATCTCAATATTTATTTTTCAATGATCAAACAGTCAACAAAATTATTCTTAATTTACTTTTGATTGACATAATGAGAATGAAACACAAAAAAATAATAATTTTTAACGAGTGTGGTCAATGAAATGAAGAATCAAGGCTGAGTAAACAAACTACAACGCTTTATAATGCTCGGAATATTGTCGAATGTAAGTCTGTTTTGTGGATTGAATCAAAGCTGATCAGATCTTTGCGAGTAAAATGGGAAAAATTCAACTATTTGCTGTGCTATTTATTGTAAGTCACAATAATAGTTTAAAAATGTTAACTTTCAAGTCTTGAAAAATAAAAATCTAAATTTGACAATTTTTGCTTTTTTCGAAGATATTTCAGCTGACATTAGCAGCAGATCTAAAATGTAGCGTTTGGATGAAGGGAATGAACACAATGCATGTAAGTTTAATTTAACTTATTAGTTTTCTGATTGAAACTTCTTTTCAAATTTCTTCAGAAATGTTGTAAACTTCCGTTACCAATTGATGAGAAAATCTTTGAGACAGCATCTAAATTGAATATGTCACATTGTGTAAGTATTTTTAAACAATCCCTAATGATCAAAGAGCTAGATATGTGCTTAATTATTAAGTCTCAAATCTAGACTTTTGTCGATTAGGAAAATTTATTTAAAATTTTTTTTTGTCAGGAAAAACAAGAGAAAGTCGCAGAGATGTTGAACTTGAAAAATGCTGACAAAGCTGCTTACAAAAATCATTTAACAAAAGTCATAACTGATTCAGATTGGAAGCCAATTTTAGTCAAAAATTCAGACTTTTGTGTAGATTTAGCACCAAAGCTAGTTGCACCATTTGCTAAGAAAGTCAACATTACTGAAGAAGGATGTGGAGCTAAATTTATGCTCACATTTAACTGTTGGATGGCAACTGCATATTCGGTAAGTTTAATAAAATTTTAATTTTAAATCTCAGAATCAAGGAACGACTGAAGATTTATTTAAATTTTAACGAATTTCAATTTCCAGGAATGTCCAGAAAAGTTTTACACGGATTCTTCTGAATGTAAGGAATTAACTAAAACAATAAAAGAATGCAAAGAAAATACAGCTGACATCATCAAAGCTTTTGAAGCACCACAATAAGATTTATAATTTGAACAATATTTTATTTATTTTTGTTAAGTCGCATTTTAATAAAAATTGACTTCTTTTTGGATTCCACAAAATTAATCTCGATTTATTTTAATTTGCTTTTAAGCTGTTGAAACAAAAAGTTTAATAAATTCATTAAATAACCTTAGCCAGGAGAGGAAAAGTGTCACCCCTCCCCCTCCCCATTTTGAGATTGAAATTTCATACAAATTTTTCAAACCTTCATCTTCGCAGTTAAATAACAAAACTTTTTATAAAAGCTCGAAGTTGACTCGATTTTTTTTTCAAGTCGACCTTATCGACTTCGAGTTCTGCTATTTATATTAGGCAAACCACCCCCCCCCCCCTCACCTACACCTACACCCCATATTTTGAAAAATTTTGACTACGCTTTTGCGTGACAGATTGAAAATGACAGTCGAATTTCATTTGGGATTTTCCAGGTTTTTATTAGTCGTTGCTTAAAATTTTCATGGTCAATTGACGTTCAGTTCCAAAAAAAAATTCAATTTGTTCAGTAATTGTTCATCGCGATACACAGAAACTAGTTATTTTAAAATTGTTTGAACATTGAAAAAAAAATAATAAAATGATGATTAATCCACAAATTTTTAGGGTCTTTTTGCTAATAATGTTACTCATGATAAGGATAAAAACCAAATTTCTTAAATTGATTATTTTTAAACATTTCAAAATCTACAATCTGATCATTATTGAGGTTGTTTTACAACCTTTAAATATTTAATGGGGTCCCATTTTTTGAAAGACGTCATAATTAAACAACCCCATAATGAAAAACACAATTTTTTTTACACTAACTTTGTAATTTTCCTTCTATTTAAGTAAATTGAACCACGGACAAATTTTAGTATCGTTAGTAAAGTCTGTCCAATAGTTTCACAGCACAAAAATGAATTTATTAATAAAAATTCTCACTTTCCACATATTCATGGTAAGGAACAGGAACCACTCGATTTGCAACTTTCAATTTAATTAATGTTTTATAATAAATTCTAGTATGGAATTGTGTCAGCTGAAATAAGCTGCGCTGATCGAGCAAAGAAAGTATCTGTGAACATGACAGTAAGGAACATCACTAAGCATCCCTTCAATATCTAAAGTCTTAAAATTTAATTCTTCTAGGATTGCTGTCAGTACCCTGATTTATTTGATATGAAAATTTTTAACGAAACTTATGAGAAAGTTTTAGCAGAAGGCAAAGCAGTGCCGGCAACGCCTCTATTTGACTGTGTAAAATAATTTTAAAGGTTAAAAAAATCTCAAAATCCAATTTCAACTCCTTTTAGCTCGTCGAACAAGCACTTTTTAAATCATTAAAATTCATTGACGACAAAGGAAACCTCGATGCTGCCAAAATCAATCAAACAATATCCGAAGTCATCAAAGATCCTGTTTGGAAATCAACAATTCTTAATGCAATGCCAAAGTGTCTCAGTGAAGTACCGAAAATTGCTGATAAATATCAAACAGATTTAAAAATTTCAAAGAACGTTTGTGATGTTAAGTTTGACATCATTGCTGATTGCGTTGACATAACCGCATTTATGGTAAGTGGACATTAAATTTTTAAGAGTTGAATCTGAGGATTTGAAGCTTATAAAGAGAGAATTCTAGTGAAAATTTGAAGTCTCTGTAGTCTATTGATTAAAACAGTGTTGGACAACCTTTTTTTTTGTGCCACGGCACTTAGCATTGGCGTAGCTAGAAAAGTCTGAGCAGTGTGAGCAAAGCTTAATTTTTTTAAGGGGGCTCAGACACTTCCCACTTCGCCCATGCCACTTAGTGATTAGTCATGCATACGACATATGGTTTGTGGAACTTCTTGTATTATGCCGTGGCACATAGGTTAGCATCACTGAATTAGACATCAGATAGGAAGTTTGTTAAACTTAGTTTTAGAGACATGGGTTCAATTCTCAATTAAAGACAATCTCGTGAAGATCATAAAGTTGTTAAGATCAGTTTTAAATACAAATTATATTTTCTCTTCAACAGAATTGCCCAGAATCTTCATGGATCAAAAGTTTACCTAAAGCAAATGAAACTGTAGCTGCAGCATGTGAAAATACAAAATCATTTATAAAAGATTGTTATTCGGATATAAAAGCATTTGAAATTTTCCTAGAGAACCAGAAAGATTAGTTATAATAACGATTGTTATGTTTTGAGGTTCCTTTACTTATTCCTTAAGCCTTTCTTTTTCTGGATTATGGAATCATCAATGTGACATCAAATTTTGTCACATCATCAACAAAAAAAACCTTATTTAAAATTGACATAATTTTTTTGAGTTAAAAATAAATTACATGTTGAATCACCACAAGCAATTTGCATGATGAAAAGTTCCGGTTCTGATTAAATGACTGTTTTCAGCCAACAATAAACCACAGAATAATAAAATGCACACACTGATGGTTCAATTTAATTAATTTAATCCACCTAGACACAATGTCTCTTTTATTAAAATTACCACCAGCCAGCCTACACATCCGTACGTATAATTCCCAACGAATCAACATGTTATCTAATTGCAAGCATCCAAAATCTTCTTAAAACCACAAAATTCCGTTTTATTCAACATACAATGACTATAGTCTGAATATAAATGTTAATCAATCTTAATCCTTAATCTGTATAAACATTCGAAGTTTAATGTTCAGCATTGTATTCTCCTTAATCCAATTAATATATGGCGCAACAGCCGTAAAAACGCCTACAAAGAGAACGCAAAGTTCATTAAAAAAAAATTCCAGTAACATTTCCATAAAATAATTGACATAATCTCATGTTACATGATACCTGGGTATGGCGGTTCTGCACATGGCTTATTGCTCCAACTGACAATGCCAACTTGAACGCCATCAACAAGTAATGGACCGCCTGCAAATAAAAATAGGTCTTTTATGAAGTCATTCTGTGTTATCAGCGAATTGATAATCTCGAAATATTCGCGTCAATTGCCTTACCTGAATCTCGTATATACGGCAGAAATGAAAAGAGAGGAAGAAGGGATGTAATTAACTTTTATGGCATAAAAAATGGAGAATTAGTAGGAATATTGCATGCAATTGAGTGAAGCGCATTTTTTTCGTGGAAATTTTTATGAATTTTACTGAAGTAGAATGACAAATTGTGGATATAAAAGGCGGAGGAATTTGATTGAAGGCTTGTTATTTTTGTGATTATTTTGGTTGTCATTGAAGAGGTTCAATTTGAGAGTTTTTTGATTATTAAAAACTTTATGTTTGAAGATTTAAAGCTTGTCGTGTTAGCTGAGATTAGATCGGATTATGCTTGAAAGTTTAAAGCTTGACACGTCAGCTGTGCTTCGCTCAGCATATGTTTGAAGGTTCGACAACTGCTAGTCAACTGCTAAAAGAAACCTAGTTAATCAGCTAGCTAGAAACACCTCTAGTGTTGATTATAAGGGAAATCTAAGATGGGAAATTGTGAATGTCACAAGCCGGTTTATTGATCAGAAATCCGGCACTAAGATGTTGTGACTCTGGCATAGAGGTGAATTTAAATCAAAGCTAGCACTTTGCCAGAGTCATGCCAGCTTGGCACCAGATTTCTATTGGATTGACCGACTTGTGCTATTCAAGAATCCTGGACGCAACCAATTTTTGTTCTTAGTTGATCGATTTTCTATTCTAAGTAAACTTCATCAGCCTTAAAAACCAGCCTCTGCTCATATCCTCTTCAAACCCAAACCGCCATTTCATAAGAATCCACTTCCACATAATCAGCACTCAAACAATGTCCACACAAAAATATATAAATTGTCTATTAAACTTATCTTTGCATTGTCCCTTGTAACCACCTTCAATTCCAGCACAAATATTATTGTAGTGAATTTCCTCTTCATGTAAATCTGCACAATCACTTTGGCTATAGATTTGATAACTCACTTTTTGCAAAATTGTACTTATTTCAGCATCTGTTCCAGTTCGTCCCCAACCTTAGAAATTGACAGATTAAAGAAGACTTGAGGATTTAAGTGTATATGAGCTGCATACCTGCCAAAACAGCTGGCGTTCCTGTAGAAAAATAATCACTAGGTATTGGCAGCTTCACTTTGTATTCGAACAATACAATTGTCATTGGACTTTTTGTTTTAATTAATCCGATATCGTGAAACAATGTAAATGGATCGAATTTCTCGTGTATTATTGTCCTCTCAAAATAAACAGTATTTATTCCTTTTGATCCATGCGATATCACAGTTGTTCCATATTCAATTTGATTCGTTGTTGGATCGTCGTCATTGAGACAGTGAGCTGCATTTTATATGTGAAGTTCAAAAAATTGTGACGATGAAAGAGAATATTTTTTAATTAATTTAATTAACCTGGAGGCTATGAAATTTAATTTTGGATGGTTTTTACACAAAGTGATATTTGAGTTTGTAATTGCTTTGTTGGAAATGGACATTTTATTGGAACTAAATGTATAAAACTTTGCAATTCATTTAATTTTGAAGATTTTTTTTAAAAAATGTCTAAATTTCTATAGCAGTTCCAGTTAGAATTTATTGTCAGGGGTGAAGACTGATTTGATTATAATGAGTCGTTTATTCTACTTAGATTATCTAAATAATGAAATCTTTGTCGAGGGTTGATTACATAGCCATATCTTTATTTGAAAATCTTAGCAGAACCCGATCATGTCTATCAACATTCATGAGTCTCTCCTCAAACCTATTCGATAAGATATCTAAATATTGGTTGGTGCATAGACCAAAGTCCAGTTTGTAGGAACCAAAGGGCTATTTATAGAGCTGCCGGTGAAATAAAAACAAAAAAACCAATGATCATATCTGGGGCCGTTCACTTATGACGTCCAAGGGGGAAAGGGGGGGGGGGGGGTCAGAGCAAGAAAAGTTTTTTTTGAAAATGCCCGTAATTTTGGACATCATAAGTGAACGCCTCTTTTAAGGAATTTATGAAATTGGTCTGCAACTAGTGTTGGCTAAACCAAGGACCTTGAAAAGCTGCTCAGTACTGGCAGGTCTCCATTTTCTAGTTACCTCCCTAGTTGAGCCTCCTTTTCTGACTTATTATAGCCAGGTTCCACTTAAGGCTTCCAATTCTCATAAAAACTATGTAAGAGTATCTATACACTAAGAATATTCAACTTCATACCACACCCATGACTTCTTAAAACATCAAAATAATAAAACCAACCAGCAGTAAGAACCCAATCCTTATTCAATATAGTTCCACCACAATAATGAATAAATGTAGAATCGTTAAATCTCCACTGAAGTGACACTAAAAACGGAAACTCTTCAATCCTTGCATCCGTTCCATTAACAACAAATGGAGTGATTTCAATTGGACTAGTTGCAGCTAAGGTCACAAAAATCACTAATAAAAATGCTTGTTGAAGCATTTCCAAACAAGCAATTGATTCCACGGACTAAAGATAACTGAACGGTCGAGTAAGACTTTTATATTTGAAAATTAAATGAGAATTGATAAGACAAGATTAAGAGTGTTGTAAAATTTGAAGAGATTAGATTATAATGTTGTAAATATTAAAGATAAATAAATGAAAATTGCAAGTTGATGAGTTGTAATTGGTGACTTGGTGTATTGTCCAATAGAGTTTATTGTTTTTGGGGACATTGATGCTTAATCTAGGGTTTTTGTTGTTGAAGCTTTGTCATTCGATTAATTTGGATTAGGAGGTGGGACTTCTTGTATGTTGAAGACTTTGTAGGTTAACTGCCATAAAGATTGACTGACATTAAGGTTGAGAGCCTTTTATGTTAACATACCAGTGTGAAAACTTGTCTTTTTAGCCCCAATGCTGATCCTTATGCTGCACATTAGTATTCGTTATTCTCAGACATTCCCCTTGCCCTAAAATCATTGCGTAATAATCGAAAAGCTCTTAAAAAAATTATAGAATTTTCGGACACTCTTACCTGTCACTCAACAATTTAAAACCCCACAATTGATATTCGAATTGCATTCTTCTTGCTTCATTCCTCCTTTATCATACACCATAACCCATCCACTCATTCATTATTGCATCCATCCATCCACTGACTCATAAATAAAATTAAATTGCAATATGACCTACAAATGGAACTTCAATCCAATAAATTAAAGCTCACAACGAACGAATATCCATCAATCTTATCCACATATCCATTAAAATTTATTTTTATCATTTTTTTTACTACATCAACTATCAATGACAATATCTGAAGAATATTTTTACAACACGACATAAATTCTTTGTTACTTCAGGAAATTAATAGCCATAAAGTTGAGGTCAATATCGTGCTGCATTCCAATGTGTTTGTTTTTCTGGTATGTCAAGAATTTTTTTGTGTCTGATTCATCAGGGGCCGTTCAATTATGACGTCCAAAATTAACGGTCATTTTTCAACAAAGGACAATGGATTTCTTGGAATTTCTATTGTTCTTTTCTTGCTGACCCCCCCCCCCTCCCCTCCCCCTGGACGTCATAAGTGAACGGCCCCTCACTGAAAGTTTTTTTTGATCCAATAAAAAATTGTTGTGATAGTTTTTTTTGCGACGATAATTTATGATGAACAGAAAATGAAAATTTATTAACATACAGCTGTTTTGAGTGTCGCTTCTATTGAAGGTTTTGTGTTGATGATGATTACAATGAAGATGTTTTTGTATGTTGATGAGGTTACAGTTTATTTGTTGCTTACTAGCATGAGCGGCACACAGCTTAAAGACCGGAAGAATAGTCCAACTTAGAGGCTGTCTTCATGCAGGTTTGTCACCACTTATTCACCATTTTTACAATGTGCAGTTGAGGGAGGTGGAAAAGTTTCACTACCCAAGCAGGAGGAGGCCTACAAACTCCAAAATACTCAATTTAATAGCCAACTCTGTTCCTCATACCAAAATTATTCTTCCCGATTCTTCAACAAAACTACAAAATCCGAAAAAAAAATCTCAAAAACAAATTCAGCATAAATAAAATCCAAAATGCCTGCAAGCAGAATCAAAAAAAATAATTTTTACTCTTCATTCAATTTACAAACAAATAAATTGAAAAATCTTCTTAATTTTCTCCGTAAATCGGCACAGCAAATCAATCACGTTTCTCTCAGGGGTCGTTTACCTATTACGTCTATTAACATTTTCAAGAATATTCTATTTTATTTAAGTATTTACAATATCTCAGACTAAGGGCATAGTAAATTTTTTTTGAGGATGAACAGGGGCGTAGCAAGAGGGATGTGGACCCTCCTAAAAGTTTTAAACCGCAGCAAGAGCAAATCAACCAAGCTAAGTCCCTAAGAAGGAAGGTGTTCGAGGGGTTTTGGTTATTTTTGATTTTTTTGACAGAATAGTTTAAGGCTCAACTGAAAAGGGATTTGAAATCAATCTCCCTTGGTTTTCCTTGTACTCTCTTCATAATAGACATCACAAGTTAACAGCCCCTTATAAATAAAGTCCAATTTTTCCCCAAATATTTATTGAGGCAAATTGATTATTCAACATTCAACTTTAGTTTTATTTATTTTCAATAAAGTAGAAATCAAATCTAGAAATATTGAATAAAGTATAAAATATTTGAGAGGATCAGATTTTTGATATGTTTAATTTACTGTTCTGAATGTTTACTTTTAGTGCAAATGATTTAGGTTTTGTGTTGATTCTTGTTGGAATAAGAAATATTTCTAAATAATATTTGGGAACTTAATCTTGTGAAATAAAAAATAGAATGATTTAAGGTAAATGTAACTACCTCTTTCATTTTTCATCATTTTAGCATAAAATTGTTTGATGATTGGCGTATAAGACACATTGGCTTTATGCTTTATTTGAGTTATTTATGGACACAACTATCAGAGGGGTTCTAAGACTGGAAATTTCTTTGATTTTCCAGCTCACAACTTGCTTAATCTAGTTGTAAGAGGTTACAACGATTTAGGAAGCGTGATGACATGACAATAACCACGACACAGAAACAGGCACAGCTAAAGGCACTCACAGTGTAGGACACATGCAACTCAGATTTCTAAGACACATGTAAATCCAATTTCCGCTCCAAGGCTAAACTTCTGGAAGTTCTTCACAAATGTATGTGACATCCGAAAGTCCGGGAAGTTTGGACAGTTATTTTTCAATACTCATGAAACTTTTGAAAGTTTAGCAAGTTTGGGAAGAATTTCAAAAAAAATTCTTGAAGTTTCCTAAGTATGTAGGCCTTAATTAATCCAAAATTAACTCAATACAGTCCTTTCCTACTGACCTTGTCATCCAATTTTCACCTACTTTGTATCTTGTTTGCTGTTTTCATATCAAGCTATTCCATTTCTTCTGCGCCTTATACCATTAACAAGTGTCATTCATCAACTCGTTTTAAACTTTATGTCCCAACTTTTTTTCCCCTTTGTGAAAGAATTCCTGAACAATTTTTCAAAAGCAGACACAATTATGACAATAAGAATAATTGCACTCAATGTACAAGGAACAATTGCGACTAAGAGGAAGGAAAAAAGAAGCTGAAATTGAAACATCGGAATCCATTATTAAAAACTTTTCCCTTCATCATTTCCATTTCCTTCTATTTTCTATCCACTGCTGTACAATATTTCAATTTCAATAGCATCAAGTGCACTTTATAGCATTTCAACGTTGAATGAGATCATTTGCAGGTGCTTTTTCAATTTAATATTTTAAATTTTTTTTTTATTTCATTCATTCTCTTCCTCGTCGACATTTGTATTTTATTGCCCCCCCGTCCCTCCTCTTCTACACATTTCTCAATTTTTTATTTTATTTCATTTCAAATGCTATCAGATTACAGAATAAATCAATTAATTCATTCAATCCATCCATCTCACCTTTCTTCAATATTTATTGCCTCTCATATTCAATTATTCTATTGAAATTGCATAGAATGAACGAATAAATGGCTGCTCGGCTGCTGCTGCTGCTGTCGTCGTTGCTTTTGTAATTGAGATGAGAATAAAAAGTGCTTCAAATAATAATAAAGAAAAGTGTGGGAAAAAAAGAGTTTTAAATTGAAGTGGAAGTTGAGAAATTAAGTGGCGCATTGTTAAGGTTTATTGTGGTTGTTTGGGTAGGACTATGAACTTAGCAGCAGTGTCTTCAGAGAGAAAGTCTTCCATTTGGTGACAAAGCAAGACGGTCAGTTCCTAGATGCCGTATAGTATTTTCAAAAACAAAGTAAGAACAAGATTTAAGATTTTCGTAGGTTTTTTGATTTTTCATTAATTGAGGGATGGCGAAGATAGTCTTGAAACCTATTTAGCACCCACCATCCTTAGTAGAACACTGATAGATTCAGTAAAGTGTCACAAATCCCCAGACCGGCCTGATAACAATTTTTACAACGGTAGAAAATAATTCAATTTTCTAAACGCACCTATCACGTGTTTTTCATATGAAATAAAAAAATCCTCATTTAAACTACAAAAACACTGTTTTAAGACTTTTAACTATTTGGCTGGCCAATAACTCGATGGAACTGAGCTCATAAAACAAACCAGAGCTCTTGACGATGTCTGGTTAAAAAGTTTTTCTTTCCCCGAACAGCCGACCAGCCGAACAAAGTATATTATTAAGCTACCTTTAAGAAACAAGTTTCCACAACTTCCCCTCCGAATCCCCTTCCCTTCAAAATTTTCATCGATTTAATAAAACAATTTTTCCCTCAGCGATTAATTATTTAACTTTCATGATCCATTTGGTGCAATCAAGTATGTAAATGAGATACTTCATAAAAAAAATCTCATAATTTTTTCCTCTCTTCCCTCGTTCTATCTTTAGCACAGATGAAGCTGCTCTTGATTTGCAAGTCAAATGATTTTTCAATTTTCCAACAATTTCTTTTTTTTTCTCGTTCATTTTTTTTCATACAAAATAGCACTTTAGTTCATCTTTGTGTCAACAGTGTTTTTACCATTTCCGCTTCGCTTTTTAGCGAAGGTTTGGTCCTTGAGTAAATATGACATGAGTTTGTTTGCTGATGGATTGATGGACTGTTGACTATGAAGTTTGTAGTTTGGATGTTGAGTGCTCGATGGTTTCATCTTGAAGGATTCTATTAAGGTTATGATTTAAATGTGGAACTTGCATACATTTTGCTCTAGATTTGGATATGTTGGTGGAGTGTGGAAGGGTATGGATGGTTCATGCAAACATTTGGACCGAATCTTAAGTGTTTGGACTTAGTCTATTTTTTAAAAATTTCTGTGGCTATGCCTTTTGCATCCAAACCCCTCCCCCTGGCTCCCTCATTCTTTCATGCTTACAAACCAACCCTCAAAAATACGCTCTATCCACTCATCCAAGTATGAAATTTCCTAACTCATTCCCACTACTGCATTTCAACTCGACATCATCATCGTCCTAGGTGATATTGAAGTCTGATGTTAATAAATTCATATCACATCAATTTCTTTTCCTCTGCCTCCTCCTTCGTCTCTTTTCATTTCATTCCTCAATTGGATTTTTCACATTCTCACTTCCGTACATTCGTCGTCATTCAAACTTTTTTTTTTTCTCTATATATTTCCTTTCCTTCTTTTCCACATTGTCGTTTTACATTTTTCATATGTTCCATGAAAAAAATATGAGAGACATTCAATTTTGTGTATTGACACCTTAGACACTTGCTCATTCTATAGCCGAAATGGTGATTATGATTTATTTAATATTTAAATCTCGTAAAATATTGAAATATGTGTTTGATTGAAGGAATTTCTAGTCGTTCTCTCTCTTTTTTCTGTGGACATGAAAGGAATTTTGTCATATTGATGAAGAGGAAAATTGAGTTGAATATTTTTTTGGGAATAGGAACATTTTTCATTTTGATGTGACTGTGGAGAGTGAGAGGTTGGAAAGACATATGTTAGCAGGTTTTGAATTTTAGGAGTTTAATGAAACTCTTAAATTTATACATAACTAGTCACTTTTTCGTCAGTAGATGCAAGGACATAGCTAAAAGGAGTTGCTTGAGGGTTTGAAGGCAAATGCCATATCCCTTAATTTTTACTTTATTTCAAGTTTCAAGCTTTTTGTAAATCTTGTCTGAAAATTTGATATGCATTAATGCACTGATGATTATTTGATCATCGAATTACTAAGTTTTTGTGGTTTTTAGTCGACTAAGTGACAATTGAATATGACTAACGACATGTGAGTCAATTCAACTCAGCATAAACTTCTAACTTAACCTACATACTCAAATCAACTTAAACCTAGTCTTACCTAATCAAACTTACTCTAACCTCTTCTAACCTAGTCTAACCTAGTCTAATCAAGTTTAACCTAGTCTAACCTAGTCTAATATAGTCTAACCTTCTCTCACCTACTCTAACCTAGTCTAACCTAGTCTAATCAAGTTTAACCTAGTCTAACCTAGTCTAATATAGTCTAACCTTCTCTCATCTACTCTAACCTAGTCTAACCTAGTCTAATATAGTCTAATATAGTCTAACCTTCTCTCATCTACTCTAACCTAGTCTAACCTAGTCTAACCTAGTTTAATCAAGTCTAAATTAGTCTAATCAAGTCTCACCTACTCTAACCTAGTCTAACCTAATCTAACCTAGTCTAGCCTAGTCTAATCTAGTCAAACCTAGTTTAACCTAGTCTAACCTTGTCTAATCTAGTCTAACCTTCTCTGACCTACTCTTACCTATTCTAACCTAAAAGTACAGAATAAATGTGCTAGTTATATGTAAAGGTTACATATCAAGTGTTTGTTAAAAAAACTGAGAAACCATCAAGTTGTTTTTCCCTTGATACGAAGCAAATGTAAAAGCTAGCAAGAAATTTCAAGATTGATGCAAAATACAACAAAAATAAGCATAAAACTCAATAAACTGCTGCAATAATAAATTAAAATTTTATTTTATTCGACCTTTAAAATTTTATGTTCTCCGATTTTTTTACATCCACCATAGTTCAAGCCTTTTGACACCAGCATGTATTATTAGAGCACCAAGCCCAGAAAGGTGGACTCAAAAATCCGTAACACAAATTGACACAGTCGTTTAGAGTGCAAACCCAGTTAGAAGCAACATTTTCAACTGCAACAGGATCACTCAAGCTCTTGCCTTTGCTACCTTCTTCAGGATTTCCAATTTTAACTAAAACTTTCTTTAATGACTCTTCAACTGGACTGGATGAGACGCAGGCGACTGCAATCAAAAGGAATGTGGAAATGATGATAAAACGCATCTTCTTGGATAGATATTAAATTGAATATTTGAAACTTGATAACTTTGATATCTGAGACTTTAATGAATGACTTGAAGTGATTTGGAATTGCTTATATACATTCGAGTTTGTTGACAATTGACAGCACTTGAGAGTGTGCTTTATAATACATTTTATTGTTGTACAAAGATTTAACTTACGATTAGTTGAAGTACTTCTGCGAAATTGCATATTGAACAGCCGCTTGACATCAAGTGATTCATTAAGAGCAACAAAGGAGATTATGATGCAAATTTTCAGAAGTAAAACTTGAGATCAGATGTAAATTATAGAATAATTTTTATACGGTTCATCAGCAATTGATTTAAAAGTTGTTCATAAACGATGTTCAGGATGTGTTCCTAAATATGTATCAGATATCAAAAATCGGGTCAACTCAAGTCGACTTCGAGATCTGGTTATTAGCAATGCAAGTGTCTGAACACGTTGAGCCGTAACCGAACGAAGAAAAGTTGTACAACTTGCTATGACTATTCGCTTTATGACTGCTCACTTTATGACTACTTAATATATGACTGACGGTTCATCATGCAATGACTATTCACTGTAGGACTGATTAGCTGCTTAGTACATGAGCGTAAATAGAATTTTTTTAAAAGGGTTTAAAATTTCTTTTCTTCCCCACATTCTTGTAGTTTAATGATATTTTCACGATTGAATCAAAAATTAAACCTTTAATTTTTTAAGAAAATAATGTCTCACCTAGACTCTAATGACCCCCCCCCCCCCCTTTCCATCAACCAGGCTCAGTTATAAAATTTTGATGCGTTAATTCTCATTCTTATTATCTTCATGGACTGGTCAACGGTTGAGCTGGCAAATGTGTATAAAAAGAAATTCAAAAACAATTGATACATTTAAAACAGTTGCAAGCTTTAAAGTTTAAACTTCTAAAGTTAAAAATATTAAAAGATATTTAATTGTCAGTCAAAAGAGTCATAAAGATGCGTATTATCGTGATTTTGGTTTTGTTTTCTGTCATCGCTTATGCATCATCTAGTGCTATAATTCGGTTCAAAACAAATGCAGTTAAATCACCAAAAGAGAAAGAGATTTTGATAAAGGATCGTTCACCAGCAATGGCAATTAATTTTGGAAAATTAAGAGATGGATGTGATTTTAATGAATGCATGACTTATTGTTCTTCAATCATGGATCCACCATTTATTGCCGTATGCATTGGTGACTATTGTGTTTGTGAGGAATTGTAAAAGAATTTGTGTTATTTGAGGTTAACATTTTGATTATTAATTATTTATGCATTTATCTTACAAAATGTAATTTGTTCAAATTTTATTTTTATTGTTGTTTTTATTTTAAATTGAATTTTAACGCAATAAAGTATTTTACGTAGGCATTTTTAAGAATTTCAATTGTTTTTAATAGGGTCCAGATTGCACCACCATGTTGCTAGTTTAAAATTATTATTTATTTTGCAAAATTTGTGTAAAATGGGCGTTATAATAATTAACTCATTTAATATTATTAAAAAATATTATTTTTGAATTTTTATTACTCAACTTTATTTTTAATTTTACTTAAAACTTAAACTTAAACTAATAATTACATTGCAATACAATTTTAAAAGCTAATGCCAATATTATCCGTACTTTCATCCAGCATGTATTTATTGCTTTTGTATCTTTCTGCATCTGCACTTGCTGTTTTCACAAACTGCTGCATATGGAGGCTTCATAAACATTCGGCATCTATAAGCGCAATATTTCTCAACGCACTTCCTCAGCTTGTCACCTAAAAATGTGATTTCTTCAAGTTCCTCTTCGCTGATTTCTGCTGGATCGAATTCTTCTAATGGATCTGCTTCAGCGTCTTCATAACATGAAGAGTATGCGATGACTGAGAAAATGACCAAAACTACCATGAAACGCATCTTGAATTAATTTTTGATTTATTTATTTTTTTTTTGAAGTTTTAACTTTGAAGTTTGTGACTTGTTTGATTGAATTTTGTGAATTTTTGGAGCTTTTTATACAAAATATTCATATCAGTTACTAATCACAGTGAAAATTGAGCAATCCATTTAGCGCTTATCAAAATTGCTTTAAGTAGGTCTACTTAAAAATATTGATTTGCGGACCAGATTTGAACTTTTCTGTGAATATTGTTATCTTAACCTAAAATAATTTTCAAAATTAAGGTTAAAAAATAATTTCGATATTTTTTATTGCTAATTTGAAATTTCAATAAACTTTAAATCAAAAATTGAGGTTAAACATCATTCCAAATGATTTCAAAGAACTATAAATCCTCAACATAAATTATTCATTACGGCAAATTTTCCTCTCATTTTCAATGTACATTAAACAGTCTTACGATTACGCATTAGATATAAAAATAAATCATTTAGGCAAAATTTCCTTTCCTTTATCAAGTGAATGGAATCAAGGAACCCAAAAAAAATTCGTATCACGTGAAGATTTCATTACCTCATAAACAAATTAAATTTTTTTTTCCATGAACATTTTTCTTCATCTTGTGTTTTTAGCGGAAAAAATGAAGGAAAGGAACATCCAAAAAGAAGGAGGAAAACTTTTCTTTTTTTTCATGCTCACCGTTACTTTTTGCATGTTTGATGAGTTGGCAATAATTTAGAATTTTTCATACTTTTTCATGCCTTCTTTGAGGTATGGATACTTTGGGCTTTTTGAGAAGCTGTTATAAATAAAGGGTAAAATGAGTACAGTAAGGAAATCCACAAGAATAATGTAAACTAATCCATGTCCTATAGATATGAATCTTGTTTCTCATTAGTTTATATATATATATATATATATATATATATCAAGTCTTTAAATCGTATATCGTGATTTTCATGCTATTAATCTGTATCTCTCACTCATGAAAAAAAAGAAAATGACAAATTTTGCAACTTTTACACAATCAAACAAATTATAATTCAATACCTATGGTAATAAATAAAATACAATACAATATGACCAATATTTATGATGGTTGACTAAGCCAAAATAAGTGGCTGGTTTTTATTGCGATTGCCCTGCTGTTGAAAATAGCTCAAGACATGAGGTGGGGTTCGAGGCTGGAATGATTGTACGCCATGTAAAAAATAAGTACTTAGAATTTTAGGATTTACGTATTCAGGATTTGTATAATTACTGAAAACCCAAATCTTTGACAGCCCTTCTTCAAGTCAAGGATGGCCAACAGCTATTTGAGTGACAATTCTAAAACTTTTTCTTAAAACTTCCAATTTTCCAGCTTTAAGCAACGACCAAACTTAATTTTTCCCATTCATTTAATTCATAAAAATTGTTATCTAATAACACATTTAAAATAATTTTTTATGTGGCTCTGCTTTTGTCACCATCACCCTTCATCATTATTTCTATGATGACGAAAAAAATTCTTTTCAGTTACCTTTAAATTGTTTCCTTAATAATTTATTTCATGCCGTCTTTTCTCCGAAAAACATGTCGTGAGGGGATGAAAAGTATTTCTCATTAATTAAAGATTCAGAACGCAAGTACCCAAATTAATGTATTTATTTTTGCATGAGTGAGCATTTGGATGCGAAAATAAAGGAAATGTCTTCATAATTAGGAAATTATAACGCATTTTCTAGGTAAGTGTTCCATTTATTATTCATATCTTTGACCTATATAAAGCAATTGATAAGTTTTAACTAGATTGCTTAATTTTCAATTTCTGTTATCAAATTTTACTATAAAGATGTTATTAGCAGCATGTATGAGGGGCTGGAATTAGGACAGTCTGAATTACTTCATATAACCATCTTCCTTTGTGGAACATCAGCTTAAATGCTATCTCTGTAACCTAATAAGTGCAATTCCTCTATTCGTTATCCAGCTGAAATTCTTCCATCAATGTTCTTTGCCAAATAGCTTTTGGAGCTCTTAAGCAGTTATAAAAAACTTATTTGAATCTCCAAACTATGACATAATCCTTAGCTTTTATAATTAAATCGCAAGACCACCCTAGCTGTTCTTCCTTATCTGTATCAACTTTTTGATACGTTTTTAACCTGATTTTTCTAGAAGCTTGTTTTTAAGCAGTTGATTTCAATACATATTTTAATGAAATCAGATCGGCACATATTGAAATGTTTGTCACCCGGCGACTGGATTAATAGTATAACTAGAACCAAGCGGCAGCTGCTTAGAAGCCATTTCCAAGTGTTTGACTCTTGATTCTAATTATACTATCAATCTTGCTGCCGGTTGGCAAACATTTCAATGTGTGCCGATCGGGAAATTTTTCAATTTTTGAACTAATATTAATTCAAAATTTTTATTTAATTTTATAAAGATATTTTGTTATGTTTTTCCTAATAAATAAGCAGCATTATCAGGACATTATTGGCTTTATTAAGGACATTGGAATTCTAGTATAGGGGACTTGGGATGGCAGATCATCGATTGCAGTGCCGCTTTTGCTATAAGCAAAACCCTACAGTACATTCTATTCTATATTATTCTTTAAATATTTGATGTAGCAACTTTATTCCTGTCAAAAAAGTTAAATTTAAAATTTCATAAGTCCAGATACATTTTTTTTAAAAACTTTTATTTTCCTTAAAATAATAAAAACAAAATAATTGAAAATTATAAGATAAATGCATTGTTAATTTATAATTAAAAACTAAAGCAGCAACGATAATCGATCTACAACTTTTCACAGATGCAGTAATCTCCACAGCATGTAGATCTAAATGGTGGACTCATTCGTGATGAGCAGTAGTTGACGCACCAAGACAAAGTGCAAGCAGCTTTTGAATTTCCAAGATTATAAGCAACTGCTGTTGGTGAATCGTTCAATAATTCTTGTGCTGGTAAATCTTCTGTTACAATCTGGCTGACTGAATTGGATGATGCATAGGCGATGACTGCAAACAATACTAAAACGGTGATGAAACGCATCTTGAATATTTTTTTGGTTGACTTTTTTTATTTTAATTAATTAACTTTAGAAGTTCGTGACTGTTTTGATTGAATTGAGTATTTTTGTGTTCCTTTTTATACCAAATATCACATCTATTAACGAACCTGATAACATCAACTCGATAGTTAAACTCAAATTCTACTTGTTCTTATCCAGTGAGTGTTAAATAATCAGCAATTTTCATATCTATATAGGGGACACACTTACTTTAAGATTGTGTCCTAAATTTTTTTTACTATTTGTTTCAACTAATCAGCAAGCACATTTTCGCACAAGTATAAAAAGGAACACAAAAATACTCAATTCAATCAAAACATTCACAAAATTCAAAGTTAAAACTTCTAAAGTCAACTAATAAATAAAAATTCAATCAAAAAATATTCAAGATGCGTTTCATCACCGTTTTAGTATTGTTTGCAGTCATCGCCTATGCATCATCCAATTCAGTCAGCCAGATTGTAACAGAAGATTTACCAGCACAAGAATTATTGAACGATTCACCAACAGCAGTTGCTTATAATCTTGGAAATTCAAAAGCTGCTTGCACTTTGTCTTGGTGCGTCAACTACTGCTCATCACGAATGAGTCCACCATTTAGATCTACATGCTGTGGAGATTACTGCATCTGTGAAAAGTTGTAGATCAATTATCGTTGCCGCTTTAGTTTTTAATTGTTTTAAGATAAATGCATTGAAAATATGTTTAACAAAATTTTAATAATAAATATTTTTAAATAAAATTCTCAAAAAAACATAAATATAGAATCTTTTGCATAATATTTGGTGGGTCCTGCTCAGTAATGGCTTGAATTATTTTCTATTGGTCTCATTCTTCTGTCAAATTAATTGATTTCTACTTTTAAATTCACACAATTTTTATTCAAATTCCTGATTCCACAATTTGCCTATTTTAGAAATTTTGCATCAATTTGCTGGTTCCTAGAATTTCTTCATTTCTTTTTTCACATTAAACGGGACTTTTTTACTTAAATGATTTAGCACTCGCAGATAAGCGATTTTGCGAGTGCGAGAGTTTAAGCAACAAACTTAATATTTAAAACTGTTCCGTGTGAGGACGTAATCGTAAGACTGTTTAATGTACATTGAAAATGAGAGGAAAATTTGCCGGAATGAATAATTTATGTTGAGGATTTATAGTTCATTGAAATCATTTGGAATGATGTTTAACCTCAATTTTTGATTTAAAGTTTATTGAAATTTCAAATTAGCAATAAAAAATATCGAAATTATTTTTTAACCTAAATTTCCAAATTTATTTTAGGTTAAGATAACAATATTCACAGAAAAGTTCAAATCTGGTCCGCAAATCAGTATTTTTAAGTAGACCTACTTAAGACAATTTTGATAAGCGCTAACCTGATTGCTCAATTTTCAATTTCTGGTATCAAATTTTATTAATTCGCTGTGATTAGCAACTGATGTGAATATTTTGTATAAAAAGCTCCAACAATTCAAAAAATTCAATCAAACAAGTCACAAACTTCAAAATTAAAACTTCAAAAATAAATTAAATAAATCAAAAATTAATTCAAGATGCGTTTCATCGTAATTTTGGTCATTTTCTCAGTCATCGCATACTCTTCATGTTATGAAGTCGCTGAAGCTGATCCATTGGAAGAATTTGGTGAAGAATTCAGCGAAGATCAAATCGAGGAAATCACATTTGTAGAAGATCTTCCAACAAGAAAATGCAACATTAGATCCTGTATCCGCAAATGTCAGAGCATTATGAAACCACCATATAGAGCTGCTTGTAGAAATGACAAATGCCGCTGTAAGAGGTTGTGAATTGAGAGGTTTCAGACATTATAAAATTGGATATTTTGACATTTTATTATTAATATTTTGTAAGTAATTTTTTTAAAATAAAAGTTCTTTAATAAAAAAATCAAAACCTTCAGTTTTCAATTTTTAAATATTTTTTCTGAGCATCTTTTGGAATTTAAAGCTTTTTGACTTTTTAGTTTAATTCTTAAACCTTGCTTAAACCTCAGTGAAAATTTAAAAATTTAAACATTTTCTTTAAATTGATTTAGAAAAATTTACCAATTTTGTTTTCATTAAAATCTCACAAAATTTCAAAATCACCTTTAAATCCACGAGCCCTCTTTAAAAATAAATTTCTATAAAATGTTATTCCAATTTAAAGCTTACCGCCTTTTCTCGTGTTTCTTGTGCTAATAATAGCTGTGTTAAGGAGATGTTAATGCTGTCTATTTATGTGTATTAGGTATGAAAAATATTTTGATTATGAGGATATTTTACATAAAAAAAACTCTCATTAAATGTTATCTGATGCTGATGCTCAAATTTAGAGTGTAATAATGAGATTACAAGAGGGGGAACTTAAAGTAAATTTTGAATTAAAATAATTTCTTAGAAATTTAAAGAGAGTCACGTTTAGGATTTTAAACCTAATCAATAAGTTTGAATTTTAATGAACCAGATTGAATTGTTTAACATTCTTAGAACTTTGCATTGATTATTGAATCTTTCAGTTTTGTAAAGCTTCAATTTTTAGTTTTTTGAGCTAATCAATCAAGTGTTAATTTAAGCTTTTATAAAAGAATGCTGATTTGACCAAGTTTAAAGTTCTTCTTAAATTTCGTTGCCCCTTAAAGGTTTTCAATTTTTGTTTCTTCAAAGATAAATGAACCCTTTCCTCATGTTTCGATGCTGTAATTATAAATATATATGGAGCAATGGATTCTCGATTTGAATTGATTCTCCGAATATAACAAGCTGGCTAATCGAATAGAAATCCAGCGTAAAGCCAGCATGGCTCTGGTATGGTGCTGGCTTTGATTCAAATCCAAACTTACATTTTTGATTGATTACCCGACATGTGCCATTCAGGTTCTATTCTATTCAATGCGTGGAAACTCAGGATTAATCCTGAAAAATTTCAAAAATCCTAGAAAATTCCTGAGCCAATAAACATGAAAATGTGAAATGAAAGGGATTTCACATTTTCATGTTTATTGGATTAGGGATTTTTTCAGTATTTTTGGAAGTTTTCAGGATTAATCCTGAGTTTCCACGCCTTGATTCTATTCAAATCTTTGACCCCGTGTATACCAAACTGTCTGTATGAATTCACAAAATTGTCAAAATCTGACGTTTGAATTATTTAGTGATTACAATGTGATTTCATGTACGCGTTACAATCTTTTGTGTTTTCCAGAATTGAAAATCAACTTTAGGACAGGGACGAAGGGGGGGGGGGGTATTTTTGCTATTTATTAAAAAAAATTGTAAAAACTGTCGTTTTGTTTCCAACATTTTATTTAAAAATTAATCAATGCATTTTCTTAATAAATTAAAGAACTAAATTAGACAAGCATTATTTACAAATGACGTCCGATAAAGCACAACTTCAGAACAGATGCTCTTTAAATTTGGAACGTCATGAATAAACAAGCTTAATTAAACTTATCACATTCTACACTTAAATATCTTTGTCTCATTTCAAAATATTTTACAATTTTCTGCAGATACAGTAATTGCCAGAGCATGTAGCCGTAAATGGTGGATACATAACCGACAAGCAGACATCGATACACCAGCCAATGGTACAAGCTGCCTTTCTGTCTCCAATTGGGATTGAAAATGACTCTTTAAGATGATCGATTTCCGTTTCTGGCACTGGCTTGAAGATGAATGAGTCAGAGACTACGTTGCATGATGCAATGGCAATGATTGCGAAGAGAAGTACAACTACTAAGGCACGCATCTTTAGTGATTCTTGTTCTTGAAAATTGTTATGGCTTTGAACTTGTCGTTTTGGTGTTTCACAATTATTTGATGATTTTCGATTGCTAGCTTGGACTTTATATACACCGCAAAACGAATGGGAAAGTAAAATTGATTAGTTTAAGCACCAATGAGCTAAGACTTTGGTAATGAAATTGTTTATCATAAGATTACACGTTTCAGATATGGACGTTAATTTGTTTTCATTTTTAAATAAGTGGATTTTCTAGGAACCTAAGGCATATCTCTTAGAAAACAAAGTTGTTGAATTTCGAAGGTTTGACAATTAAATTTAACCTAATGACATTTACCCTTGATTGGAATCGGCAAGGTAAAAGACGTCCAGGAGCATTAACCAGGCGCAGAACAGTAATGAAAGAATGTCAACTTAATGTGTGGATAGAGAAATTGTACAAACTAGGTGACTGAGCCAGCAACAGAGTCAGATGGAAAGCCTTTTGTTGTAACTAAAGCTCCACATAGGAACATGGTTACGGTTATGTAAATGAAGGATTATTTTCCATTTTAAGGACGTCATTATTCTGTTGTTAAGCATACTATCCATAACCTGATTTACGGTTTACTACCCTCCATACAAGGCTGTAAGGATGGGTTTTGAATCTATTATTAATTCTGGCAAATTACTCGATGTATTTAGTAGTATCAAAGGACACATGAGAAGGTAAACACTTGACATTTTGCGTTTCAAAACTGCACCTATGAACATTTAAAAAGTCTAAACAAAATAATAAATTTTGGACATCCGTTCGATCCATCTTATCGAATAAATAATTTAAAAAATGCTGCTGTTATTTAAACTGCGTTTTTAATCTTTACTGTTGACGCCTTAATTTGGCGAAAATATTTTTTTATGAATTGTAGATCCTGATTAGAAATGAAGGTCAATTGTTATTTAATTAAATTGAAAACAGCGCCTTTGGTATGCATTGATTAGGATCTTTATTTTTCAGTATATTTTGAGACATTTGAAAATTAATCAACATCACCTCAATTATCAATTTTAGAAACCAGAGTTGGGAGGATTCCATAGTCTTGTCCAAAGTCTCGTCCATTGTTTTTTTGACACTAGCGTCAGGAACATTGTTTGAACTGTTCGTTCAGAACAATCTGTACTGTAGCTATCTCGAAACTGGAAACGCTGAATTCAGCACTGAACTTAGTGTTGAAGTTTATAGTATGATAAAATCACACAAGAGATGCGACTGTGGTATCAGAAGAGAGAGAAGATGAGAAGTAATCAATCAATTATTTAACCAGAAACAATCAAGAATCTGTTGCATAGGATAGACAGAATAATTCTGCAGAATTCTGCTCAACAGTTGCGCAACAATTCTGCAGAATTATTCTGATAAATTCTGCAGAATAATTCTGATGACAACATAATAATTCTGAAGATTAATTCTGATGAATGTTGCGTGACATGGATGTAACAAAACCAGAATAATTCTGAAGAACTTATTTTTATTCTGCAGAATTTTTCTGCTGAAATTTTTTTCAGAATTTCACAAAACAAATCAGAAACATTTTTTTTTTCAAATTCTCCATAATTAAAAGTTCTGATCAACAACTTTATGAGAATGTGATTAAAAACTTTGTTTTTCCACAATTACAAATTAATATGGAAATTAAAATAGGAGTACAACATTTTTCAGAGTTTTGAACACTATTCAATTCAATTTCAATTTATTCATCTTAAATTGTGCAACAGTGTTACTAAAATGCCACACTTTTATTTTTAACATTAATAATTCTTAAATCTATATTATGTACGTTAGTTCAGTGTTTAGCGCATAATCTTCACTAAGCAGTTGTGTGTCCAGTAGACAGTTAAAAACTGTTATAGATCTTTAGAACAAGTGTTCATATCGGCTCTCGTTTCAATTTTCAGTAGTCTCCAAATCCGTTCCACGGCCCTTGTATCTTTTCATTCTGTCTACATAATTCTTGAACCATTCCCACATCTCACATTGCCTAATTCTTAGTTTTACGTCTTAAACTGCTGCAACTAAGAAGCCGAAGTATCTAAACTTCTGAAAATAACTGGGCTGGTGATGGGATTTGAACCCGAGAGCCCAAATTCGAGTCAAAATTTTGTGACCTGTACCTTGCCAGCTGAGCTATCAAAGCACTTTTGCATAATTTTTTGCAACGGATTTTGGTAGTATCAGTTTGCAGCGTCATATTTTGATAAATTGATCATCACCATATAATAACGGAAATATAATAAGTTCCAAATAAAGCTAAAAAAATTAACGAACAATAAAAATCTGGTAAATAAATAATTGTCGAATTTCAATTATTTACTTTTAAAAAATAATCGTGTCGAATTCGATCTCAAAAATTGAATATTCAAAAATTTCATCAAATTTTATACGCTTTTGTATATAATCTTCAATTGAAGTTTTATTAATGAATAACTTTTTCAAACTATTCAAGGCTTTAAACCAGAGGAGCAAAAGGAAAATATTTGTCAAAGTCAAAACCAATTCCTTATCAATTTTGTTCAAACTTAGTGAAACACTGAAAAATGTTGTGCTCCTATTTTAAATTCCATATTAATTTGTAATTGTGGAAAAAGAAAGTCTTTAATCACATTCTCATATAGTTTTTCATCATAAATTTTAATTATGGAGAATTTGGAAAAAAATGTTTCTGATTTGTTTTGTGAAATTTTGAAAAAAAATTCAGCAAAAAAATTCTGCAGAATAAAAATAAGTTCTTCAGAATTATTCTGGTTTTGTTACATCCATGTCACGCAACATTCATCAGAATTAATCTTCAGAATTATTATGTTGTCATCAGAATTATTCTGCAGAATTTATCAGAATTATTCTGCAGAATTGTTGCGCAACTGTTGAGCAGAATTCTGCAGAATTATTCTGTCTATCCTATGCAACACACCCACAATCAATAATTTTTGATCTTTCTCAAAGAATTTTTAAATAAATATTAAAAACTCAATATTGAAAGACATTTAAGTGATAATCCACGATTACTTCAGCCTTTGTCAATATATAGAGTTTTCTACTCTTCTCTCAATAGCTTTAGACCATATTGTCCATTAGTTCAGATCAGTGTTGCAAATGTAGATGTCTACACTAGATGAAGAATGTAGATTCTTCAATAGTTTTTGTCTAGCTAAGAAACTTTCTTCATAAAGATCGATTCAATATGAAGATAGAAAATCTAATCTACACAAAGATTATTTCTACATAAAGATTCTGTCTACATAAAGATTCGATGTAGATGTCTACAATTCTACATTTTTTCCAGGTCTACATCAGAGAAGAATGTAGAATTGTAGACATCTATATCGAATCTTTATGTTGACAGAATCTTTATGTAGAAATAATCTTTGTGTAGATTAGATTTTCTATCTTCATATAGAATCGATCTTTATGAAGAAATTTCTGTCTCAGAATTTATCTGATCCAGACAAGTAGCCAGAATGCAACACTGGTTCAGATCTTTGACTCATATCAGGAAATAGAGTTCCATTCAAGTTAACCTAGAATAATTAATCATTGCACCAATTTTCCTTTTCTAAACCCCCGTAACCGCTTCAACTTAATAATAAAAGAGGCGTGAAATTACTAGCAAAAGAACTAGTTTTAGATCTAAAGAGGTTAGGAAAAAGGGCATGGATCAAAATTAATCTATAAGATTCACGTACGCAAGGAAGAAAGTCTAAGAGCCAGAACATTTTCTAGGGGTCCCTTGAATGAGCGATTTTGAAAGCATTGGACAATCACTTGCAAAGAATGACTGAACTTTAAGGTCGTTATTATTGTACACATGGTGCCATTTACTTAGGGCTAGCTAAATTAAAATCATACCTAAGTAAGTTCTATAGAATAAAGTCAAAAAACAATTAAATCTTCATTTAAATCAAATTTTTATTCATAATTTTATCAAAACATTAAAAAATTCTTAAACAATAAATTTATACAAAATTATAACTGAATCAGCAACAGTTTTCATCCAAATTTTACAATTTCCTGCAGATACAATAATTTCCAGAGCATGTAGCCGTAAATGGTGGATACATAACAGACAAGCAAACATCAATGCACCAGCCAATTGTGCAAGCAGCCTTGCCACCAAGTGGAATTTGGAGTTCTTCAGTTGTTTTGCCGTCTTTAGCTTCTGTGAATGGCTTGAACATGAATGTTTCATCACACATGGCACAAGCGATGAGTGAGAAGATAACTAGAATGACGATGAAGCGCATTTTAACGTTTTTTACTTGTTTTTTTTTGAAGTTTTTGCTTTAAGCTTTGACACTTTATTGACTGAATTGACTGCTTTCGCACTTCTTTTTATATACAAAATGCCTATCAATGTGTTATGGGAAGAAATGCAAAAAACACGACTTTAAAAAGTGTTTAAGCTTATCAATAACTTACACGTTTCTGATAATAGTAAAGCCTGTTGAAAATTATTTGTTTTTCACTTCGCATGCCTGTCAATGCCATAAAATATTCCTGATTATCTTAAAGTTATAATCAAGCCAAGTTTTATTATATCCATTGAGATTTTCAGTAAACAATCCCCGTTTAAGTTTCAAACTTTCTTCCACAAACAAATAAACTTTAAGGAATGTTCCAGATGTAGCTTTTTACTGTTTTTCGTGAAAACATTATGATTAATTGAAGTTTATTTGTTTCAAAGTTTTTTTTTCTGTAGTTTGTGTCGGACTAAGTTTTATGAATTATTGTTGAGATACTGCGACAATGTACTGGATGTTCGCCTGAAATTATGAGATATTGTTTGTGATTTCTAGGTGGATTTTAATTGGGTTATGAAGTTGGATCGTGTGGAATAGTTTCTAGTGGCACAACATAGTGGCAAGGACTAGATTCTTTCATATGTAGAGGTGTCATGACAGTGCTATTGACAGAGACAGTATTGTATTTGGTATGATTAATTGGCAAACGGTAGCGAGCGATAGAGCCAGCTTCAGGGGCCATCTAAGGGAGATCATGGATCTCAGTTGATCTGTGCGGTCAACGAAGTAAGTAAGAAAGTCATGACGGTCCATAAGCGGCTGTTCACAAGCCAAATCAACCAACTTGAGACCAACTTGTGTCCATTATGAAGTCTAGCATTGAAAAGATATTCTATTTAGTCGTTAGAAGTTCTAAAGATGCCAACTCTGGTTAGAACTACTTTCTTGAGCACAAACTGTCTCGTTCTTAGGTCTGAAGACTCCACATCATTTATTTACAAGACACTGGTTTGATAGGGCAAACTGATATCATTAAAAGTATTAAAGTAAACAGGCTCCGATGATATGGACATGTTATGAAGAGACCTGTGGAAGCTCCATTAAGTAAGGTCTTTAAGTTAGAGCACGTGGAAGACCAAAAAACCAATGGAGATGAGCTGTTGATAGAGACTGTATTGCATTTGGAATAGGAAATTGGCAAGCGGGAGTCAGCATATCTTCTAGGCGTTTCAATTTAAGACCAAACATTTTCTAAATTACATTAATAATGTAGCAACAAATCTCCAACAAATAATTCAGAAAATTAAATAAAATCCATCATCCTGGATTACTTTCCCAAAAATAAATTGACAAAAATTCAAACGGACCATTAGCATTAACTTGTGTTCCTTTTTTGTGAATAATACCTTTATAGAAATTATCCATAGTAACGATCATTATGCAGTCTCAAAGCCTTTTTTCTGTAGCCTTCAGTTCTTCATTTTACCGCTCACTTCAGCTTCCCATAATCTCCATAGAGATGTAAAGCTCCACGAAAAAAAAAAAAGTTTTTCAATATTTTCTTTCTGCTCTTTTCCTTGATCATCGTCTTGTCATTTTGACATAGGATTTTATTTTTGTTGACTTTAGCATTACAGCTACTTGCTTCCTTCTGTCCGTGATTTTATTGTTGTTGTTGTTTTTTTCTTAATAATGTCGCCCTTTTTATTCCTTTTTATCTTTCCTATATTTTATGCCCTTTTCTCTTTTTTAAGAAGCGGATACAGGCACGTCTACAAATAGATTAGCTGCTTTCGGTTATTTTCTTTTTAAAGAATTCTTAAGATAAATGTGTCATTTTGGGTGAATTGTTGATAGCTTTTCAGGGACAAAAATATTGAAGTTCTGTTATTTTCACAATAACATAAAGGATGTCAATGTAGAGGTTACATAACTAGTATGACTTTGTGACTCAACGTTAGACATTTAACTTTTAAGGGCAGTCTCTGGAATAAAACTGGTGTGGAGATGTTGTGGAAAGTGTCGAACTGTATGCAGGGGAATCTGCCAGTCAGAAGCGTAGCCTGGTTTGTAAGACCAACACTTATTTGGTCAAGTCACTGAGCAACATTCTGGATTTTTTTAACATGCAATTTTGTGAAGACATGGATTCAATTCTCAAAAAAAAGTGGTTAATATTTTAATATTTTTTTATCATTTTCTTTAGAGTCTTTACAGTTGATGTTAATATTAGTGTGCCTTTATTAGAACTGCTTTAACTAAGCATGCAGTTCAATTTAAAAAATGTGCGAATCAAAAACCATCCCAAATTTGAGCCAAGCGCCTTACCTATTCGACCAGCTAGGCACTTAACTGCTTTTAACTTCAATAACATCAATTCAACTATGCATCACGTCAAAATGTATGCATAAATGCGATTTCTTTCCTAATAAATCCACTTACAACTTTTAAACTCAAATAATAATCATAAAAACATTCTTAGCCCAACCGAGAATCCTCTCTCAAATCCTGAATTAATTGATGAGGGTGCAAAGGTCTTTTCTCAGCATTAACTGAATCTTACTGAATAAGAAATAAAACAGAATCTCTCTCAACTGACCAACATCAAAGGAAAGAGAAAATTTTAATTTCAGAATCTTCAAATACCCTTAAAATGTCAATATTATGTCCGTCGGTTTAGAATATAAATCTAAATGAAAAGGATTGGTAACTCTAAGTAAATAAATTTAATTCTGTGGGATTCGGTGCATGAATTTTATTGGGACTGTTTAATTTCTTTTTTTACTGCTGAAGTTTTTATGGAGTTGGACATTTTATGAAGTTCAAGGTTGTAAAAAATTAATTAAAAAGTTTTAGGGTGTTAAGGCTGAATCATAGAAGAATAGTGACTAATTTGACTTTAAGTCTACCTGAAATTTCAACAAATTCCAAAAAAAAATCACAAAATTATTATTTTTTCTTAAATTCTATAAAATAATTTTATTAAAATAATATTCAATAATTTAAAAGAAATTTAATGCATTGATTTAAAAGAAGGCACATCAATCTACAATTTTCTGCAGATACAGTAATTTCCAGAGCATTGAGCACTGAACGGTGGACTCATAATCGACAAACACATATCAATACACCAACCTATTGTGCATGCTGCCTTGTGTCCAACTGGAATTGAAATATCATTGTCAGAATCGCATGCAGCGTGAGCTTCACATGAGTCCATTGGTTTCAACATGAAAGTGTCTTCACACATGGCACAAGCGATGAAGGCGAGAAGAACCAAAATGATGATTGAACGCATTTTTAATTTATTTTTGTGGTTTTTTTTTGAATTTTAACTTTTTGCTTTAAGGTTTTTAACTCTTTTGATGGTTTTTGCGAATTTTGTTGCTTCTTTTATACAGCATATTTTGAGTGGATACGAAGAAAAGCCGTATGGCATTTATCAAATTGTTTCGACGACTCGTGTGGCTTATCTTTGAATGCCAAAACTCAATGTATTATTAGAAAATTTAATTAAATTGTTGTGACTTAATAATCGGGTGTTTACTAACTTCTTAGATTAATTTGCTTTTTTTGAAATAGAATATCGAATTAATGGAATGATAGTGGGTGATTGTTGACTGTGAATCAATTGTTTAATTGTTTTACGGACATGATAAGTTCTACAAACTTGATTTTAATAGGTAAGGCATTTGATATTGAACATTAAGGGAACTTGCCCGACGTGGGAATCGAACCCACAAATCTTACGATATCTAGTCTTTTACTCTTGCCACTGAGCTAATGGTGGTTCTTGAGAAGTTTGGCAGAATTTGAACTTAAAATAGTTATTATCAGCTGAGGCGAGTCATATCTGGCTACACAAAGTTACTCTTACTAAATCACAGTTCCTGGCACTCAACTAAGTACCAAAAATTCGATTTAAATTCACTCACAACCCTACAACATGGTTCACATCACATCCGGTAAGTTCATTATCCTTTCAACATTTCCCACAAATCCACTCATCCTCAAAAACTTCAAAGAAAACCAAAATCTCCAAAGTAGAATTAATTATGTCACAAAAGTCATCACAAATGTCCACCCCTTTATGTGAGGACATCTAAAAGACAGAAGCTGATAAGAATAAAGTAAGTATGTCCCCTTCCTTTCCGTTGTCTTTTCTTTTGAGATTTAATTCGTCTCGTTAGATGGAATAACAGATATGGTCCGAGATTGTTTACAAAGAATCTATTGCATCAAAGAGTCTCCTTTGGTTCATTCTCCTTAAGTAAATTATTGCTTCCTTTTTTTCTTTCTTTTGTGCTGCTTTTTATCCTTTTTCCCTTTCATTGCTTTTAAACATCCTTAAATGAGGATGTGGACTAAGAAGGAAAATGAGAAGGAAAAAAATAAGAAAATTTAACTAACGAATATAATCACACAACATAAGGCGTTCATTTGTGTTAAAAGGAAGAAAACAAAGTGTGTGATGAAAGGAAGCTGGAGATGAAGATTAAAGTGATTAAGGCGCATTTAGGTGTGAGAGGTGAGCAGGGTTGCAATAGCTTTCATTTCATCTTATACTATCTGGGATATATTGCAGAATGGTCGACTTCCTTCCCATTATGAGAGATTCCTCGAAATTTCAAAACAATATTTAATGCGAGTGTGAACCGAATTATGTTTAAATCCTGTCGTTGTATGTTTCGTCCGCGACATGAGTGACTGAATCCTAGGAAATGTGTTTCCAATTGAGGATCTTAACACAAACTTCAATAAACCCAAATCCTGAGCCTGATCCAAACAAGATTCTAATATTACCAAACCTTTCACTCCATTGTCCATATCTGACTTGACCATTACACACAGTAACACTCTAAAAAGCATACGAACAATTCATTCGAATTCTGTAAATGAGGGTTCCAAATTTAAAGGCATTTAGCCTAAATAATAATATTAAGGGTCACTACTTAACAAGAAATATCCCAAAGAACTCAAAGAAGAAAGAAAAACTTGTGGCTTTTATTGCTTTTCATCAACATCAGTTCTCAAAAAAAAGAGAGAAGAAAGAAAAATTACAAGGAACCGAGCAGTAAAAAAAGGAAAAGCAAAAAGATTTTTTATGAGTTATAAAATATGCTTCCTCATGTTGTACAGAAAATACAATAAAATATCATGTCTTGGTTGTATAGGCAAAGGAGTAGTGCTAACAAAATGCTTGCTTCCTTTTTCCTTCTCTCATTTCATTTCACTGGATTTTCATTGCTGTCTTATTATTTAGTGGAAGTATTTATTTTATATGGTGTAGTAAAATAATAAAAATTTCTGTTTCTATTTAAAGGAATGGGATATTCAGGGGATTGAGGATGTAAACAGTATCCTGAGTCCGGTTGCTAAGGCTTACACGGAAGCAGTTAAGTTAACTTGCTAAGGCTCTCTCAGCAATCCAACTGTCATTGCTGCTTAAGACACTCTCAACCCCATCCAGATGATATCAAGGACATCGATAGCAATAGAACTGAAGAATAATGTCAACATTTGATCCAAACAAAAAATGTTAAGCCATCTAGAAGAACGCACATAAAAATGCATCAACAATCATCTCAGCTCAAGGGTGTGCAGCAAACAGAGCTGTTTCATAAAACTACACACGAATGGATGCACTTCCATCACATGAACACAATATAATGAATGAAAAAGCAAGCATACAGAAGCATAATCATTCCACATGAGAATTAAATGAAGCGAAAACAATGAGAACAAAAAACAATTCCTTATCCATAAATGTATGGATGAATACCAAAAAGTCATGGAAACATATATCCCAGGTATGAATGTGAAGATGGAAAAAAAGCACTTTTTTTTGCTGCATTCGTAATGATGTCAAGTTGAGATTATTGAAGTATAAATTGCAATATCATGTAAGAAATAATAGGAATGAAATGTTTACTGATGTAATGAAATTCCAGGAAATAATGAAACTGTAAATGCATTAAAGATGTTTGCTTGTTTATTGACATGGATTTGGATGCCTTGATGTGTAACTTTGTAAGAAAATTGAAGATTCAATTTTGAAATTTATTTGAAAAGTTTGTGGAGAGATGAAGAGGAGTGTCTTGAGTTTTGATGGACTATGGCAGTAATCGCCAGCCCATGTGTTGTTGGAAAATTCGACAAATTCAACAAACCGTGTGCAATGTGCAAATTCGGTCGATGCATATTAATATAATGTGCCGTGGTACAAAAAAGGTTGTCCACCAATGGATTATAAAGTTAAAGTTGTCAGAAATTTATTCTTAATTTAAAATCAATCAAATTTCTTCTTTTGATTTTCAAAACTGCCTCCCACACCCCTGAAAATTTTTCATTGCAACAATATTCTCCTGAATGCATCAAAATAATGAAACTGCAGTATCAATGTCTAATGTACTCTATTTGATTTTTTTTAAAGAATTCTCATCACTTATCGAAAATTGGATTTCTAAAATTTTATTTTTAAGATAAAGCTCATATTCCAATTGGATAATCACGAGCAAATCCTGTCAATCGCATGTGCTATATACCAATAAAATTTTTCTAATTTTATATTATCTTGAAATTCATAAGAAACATTTTAGAATAAAATGAAGCTTACATTCTTGAGAAATTTTAAATCTAAATGCAAAAAAATATTTTCTAATTTACAGAATTTGAATAATTTAGATTGAAATTGACATGCGATGAGGATTTTTTTGATTGGTTCGAATCAGAAGAAACATCCATTTTAGAACATCCAAACAACAATTTATCATTTCCACATCCCCATTAAAATTCATCCACTCATAAAACTCATTTCCCTTCCAGAACAGTATCTCTACACAGCAATGAAAAAAAAAAGAAACCTCCAACAACGAGATAAAAAAGCAACAAAGGAACACAAAACCATCACTCAATCACATCCTTTACATCAATTCTGTTGCAACTAAAAACTGCCACGAGCACATTGTAAACATGTTGCATCTGAAAAGAGGCATTGAATAACAATGGATAAGCCACGTTTTTAGCATTGCTTCATTCAACGATTCAACAAATAGACACATGAGCTTTTTCATGAAAAGGAATTGAAAAGAATCAAACAAAAATCTCATAAACTGTGTTTGGCGATGTGAGCATCGAGGAGGTTTTGAATTTAAATGAATACAAATAGAAGTTTGAAGGGTAGGAAGGAGTTGTTATGAGTTAAATGAACGGTTTGTTATCATTTATTTAAAGAGGTTGGGAGCCTGGTAGCTCATTGGTTGAAGCACTAAGCATTTAATAAAATCAAGGTGTGTGGTTCGAATCCTATTTATTAATTAAATTAAATTAATTTGATTGCTTTTGAATTTATTTTTTCTCATTTTTTACAATTTTTGAAACAAAATTTTCATTTAATTTCAAAATAATTCAATTTTCCGTCACTTTCACTCACAACTTCAACTATCACAGACAGTGACATGATAAAACCTGCATGAAGTTATTTCAAAAGGCAAGAATAAGTGAGCATAAATGTGTAATAAAGAAGGAAAATGAGTAAATAACATAATTAGATTTACATCACAACTCAATGTGATAAGTTCTTCACATCTTAAGTGAATAATGAAGGAAAAAAAACACATAAAAGAAGAGAAGCTCGATTACATAATGCGATAAAAGGAAAAGTTTTCTATAAATATGAAAACAGACAAGGAACTGAGTTCATGGGTAGATGCGGAGGGGTGGTGCGTCTTATATGATCATATCGTTTTATGTTGGTAAAGTGATAGAAGAAAGCAGAAGGAAACATTTGTCATATTTTCAACATTGATATCAGATATTGTGTTGGGTTGAGTGTTGGATTTTTGAAGGCTTTTTTATGGAATTTTGGAATTTTAAGAAACAGTTTTATTCTTCAATTTTTCAAATGTTTCAATTATTTTTAAACTATTTTAATATATTTTTGATTTTTATATATTTTATTTTTTTTTTTGTTTTTTAAATTTTTTAAAAAAATTTTAAAATTTTAATACTAAATTGTCATTTCAAAAAGTTAAAATTTGGTTTTCAAAAACTTTAAAATATTTTAATTTTGGAAATTCTTTTTTAATTATTTCGAAATTTAAATTTTGATGAAACATTAATGTTTTTAAATTAGTTTTTTTAAAGTTTGATTTTTTGATTTTGAATTTTTTGATTTTGAATTTTTTGATTTTGATTTTTTTTAAAATTTTGACTTTTACTTTAATTTTGATGCTTTTTATAAATTTTGAATTCTTTTTAAATTTTGAATTCTTTTTAAATTTTGAATTTTTTTTAAATTTTGATTTTTTTATTTTGCACATTTTTAAATTTGAACTTTTTTAAATTTCGAACGTTTTAAGATCTTTAAATTTTTTAATAAATTTTTATTCTTTTAGCTTTACTTTATTTGTTCATCAAAACTATAATAAAATCCACCATATTTCCACACATCCACCAGATTTTTCACAAATAACAGCAAGAAGCGAAACTTAAAAGTTTTCTTTTTAACACAATACACATTTATACACACAGACAGTTGGATATGATACGGATGTAGGTGTATATATGCTTATATTTAATAGCAATAGCAGTACGTCAACATAAATCTTGCATGCAAGAAAGAAAGAGAAAGAAGAAAAGTTCACTCTCGTTTACTCCTCTTACCAATTTTCTTTCAAATGTTATTCAACATACAACTTATAAAGTTTTTAAAAAAAAGGATTTTTATGCTTTCTTGGTACACAATTTATGCATTTGTTGTAGAATAAATTTAACTTTCTTTTCTTTTTGTTCTGTTGCATGTAGATGCAAATAAGTGGAAGTAAGAAGTTTTATGGATATTGTGTAATATAATTTGAATTGGAAAAAAAATTGATTTAAGTCCTTTTCGAGATAGAATTGTGCTTGCAGATATTGATAAATTTTCATATTTAAACTATGAATATTCTGAATATATGAAAATTTATGGCTCTGAACTGTTCAGAAATTTTTGAATTAAGCTTCATTTGCATTGCAATATTTATGCATTTTTTTGTTCATCGGAAGGGAATATTAACCCGAAAGGTACACGACGTGGAAATGGCTGTCAATCTAACGTCTACGACGGCATGAACATTGCCATATTTGGTGATTTATTGCGTTCATTCTGCGTGGATGCCATATTTGCACTCATTTTTACGTCGTGTGCCTTTCGGGTGATGTTGATACAGAATTTATAGGTATTTTAAAATAAAATATTAGGCAATTTATGAATTTGAACACAATAATCTTACATTTTAATTGGCATTAATAAAAAATTTAAAATAAATTCAAAACTTCGGTTTCAGAAGCTCCAAAATAATGAGATTGTTTGAATTTTTGGAACTTAAAGTAAGCGTTCGTGATTAAAACGGAATTCCTTTATTGATGATTTGTGGCTTTCAACAAAGAATCTTTGTTGTCCAAACTAGGCATTCACGATTTTCCGGTCCCACAAAACTATCAGGAACGGGACAAAAATTCAAACTCAAATATCAAGCATGCTTCTCGACATTTTTAAGATTTTTAAGATTTTAAGAACGGGAAATCGTGAAAACTGAGTCCAAACCTTTTTGCAAACCAACAAGCCGCGGCACACAGTTTGGACAACATACACAGTCATTACTTCAGTTGCCTTAAATTTAACTCCCAGGGATCCAACTTTAGTCACAGTCAAACTTTATTTAAACCTTAAAGATTAGAATATTAATTCCTCAAGGAGCCTGAAAAGCACACCCCTAAACTTGACAACTAAATGTCTGACTTAATGTAAATAATTCCAAGAAGAAGTAACTGGAAAATTTATCTTCTTTTATATCCACACAAATAAACAAAAGATGAGATAAGACTATTTATAACATCAAAAGTTATGCAACAACAATTTTTAAACACGAGCTGGCAATCAAAACTATTGACTTTAGTCTACGAACCCACGTAATCATGATTATTTTGTTATCGTGATAGCAAGACATTATTTTGTTATTTAAATAAATTACATTTTTAATTTTCGCACAGTTCTCACTTAAGCTTCTGTTAAAATAGGTCAAAATGAAGAATTTAATTGGATTAATAATCTGGATTTCTACACTGACTTTGATAGCATCTCAAGATTATTACGATGATGAATCAGACCAGTTATTAGACTGCAACAAGTAAACTCTTAAAAATATTTTTAAAAACGATTTAATTTTTATTTAATAAATTTTCAAGCCCAACAAACAAGTGCACATGTACATGTCCAGACAGTGGAATCAAATTCAATCCAGAATTGCCTGTAGCTATACCACCTGTTCCAACAACTTACCTCAAACCAAAAGTTGAAGTTTGCAGCTATGTGAAAGATTTATTTGATGGTGGAACTTACTTAAAGTCAGCTTGTTTTGTTCACCAAAATTTAGATTATAAATCAGCAACTCAAAAATGTGCAGAATATAAAATGAATCTTTTTGTGCTTAATGATGAAGTTGTTACATCACACATATTGGATGCTACTCAAGAGTAAGTAAAGCTCTGAATTATGATCGCGTGAAGTTCTAGTTTAGGGATTTAAGGTCATGCTAGTGTCATACTTGGAAGGAGCATCACAAGTCAGGGTTTTTGGGGTCAAGGTTTCATCAATTTTTTGGGACTGGTTTCTAGGACCAACTAAAGTATCTTACCTTATAATCAGAATCAATTAACTTACACTTGAGGTGCTAATCAAGTATGACTGTAAATATTGTAGGATTGGGGAAACCTACCCCCAGTTGGCTTTAGAAACTAATCTCTTACTATGCTCCTAGACCAAGACAATACCTGTTTCTCAACTCTTTAGCTCGGTATGCACTCCTAGACTTGTTTTTGATTGGTACCCATCCCTATGGCCAGCAACTCAACCTTTACACTAGCTTTTGTTATGGATCTATCCTCTTAAGTATCCCTTGATCATGTACTTCCATTCTAAGCTCCTCTTCGACCTCAAGTCCAACCCTTAACCTTATTAAGGGTACGGAAAAAAAGAAATAATCAAAAATTATCAAAAAAATATCAAAATCGATAAAATGTAATTTATCAGTTCCGCACCCTTGAACCATTTTTTTGGTAAAACTTACTAATTCCTAAAATGTTAAATTCCAGAAAATATCCAACAGTAAATGGAGCGATGTGGGTAAATGGAATGCGACAAAAGTTCTCAGCTAAATGGCAAACCTACAATCTTGATGGATCAGTTTACCAGAAACTTGATAGCACCGTTAAACTTTATAGTAATCATGAACTAGGAAATTGTCTTCAAGTGTCTCGTAAGTATACAGACATTTACTATCCACTTCCTGAAAATTGTGACATCAAACGTTATTTTATTTGCGAGCATTTTAAAAGAACTCAAACTCCACCAAAACTTGACACAACTAAGTGCCTTTACAAGCGCGATTTATACTTTAACAACTCTTATGTCAAGTCTATGTGTGTTGTTAATCAAGAGCTAGATTATGATCAATCAAGACGTAAATGTGCTGAATATGGAATGAATTTATACTCATTTGACACCAGAGAATCTTATGGTGCATTTTTCAACTCAGCTGAAGACTTTGCTAAGGCTTATCCTTCAGGAAGGAAGTGGATAAATGGACAACGAGATGCAAATACAAATGAATGGTACACATATCATTCCAATAGACTCGTTCAAGGAAAAATTTACAAAGGATTTGAATGGGCTAAGGAAAACAAAAATTCTGGTCGATTCTTAGGACTTTCAACATTGTATGGTCCTTATCAAGGTGTAGGTTATGATTCTGGGAAGTTTTGGTTTATTTGCGAATATAAATATTCTGAGATTTTGGTTTAAAGTATTGTCAAATGTCAATTAAAGTCTAGAAATAAAAGTGTTATGACTAGAAATTCTTAAAGGTTGTTTATTTGTCATGTTGAACAGGTAGCATGGAAATGGCATTAGTGGCCTAAGTAATACAGCGTTGGCCTTACGTGCCAAAGGTTGTGGGTTCAATACTAGGCTAAGTCAAGTTTTAGAAACTCTTTTTCCATTTCATCGTTCTAGTTACGAAGCTCGGTTCGTGTGTTGCGAGAAGTTTTGAGGTCTTCGGTACATAAAGTGTCAAATTTGCTAGGTATACTAGGATGATTTCATTACAGCATCTAGTGAACATGGATTAACATTTGGTACATTGCAGGGTAAAGGTTTATAGACGTCCTCTATTTTTACAATGTGCAGAACTTGCAAGTGGTTCGGATTCTACTATAAACTGTAAGTCTAAATAAAATGGTCCAATTTTTACTGTTCATATTTGAATCGTAGTGCCTCCAGCTCGAAAAGACTGGGCCCTCTCCATGCTTCAATTTTTACCTATAGAAAAAAAGACTGCTGGTTGAAAATTAATATGTGCGTATGGGTGAGGAGATCATCGGAACATCGACTCATAACAAGGAACTTATAGTCAAATATGAGTTCTCATTCCTTCGCTGAACCTATGAGTATTGGTTTGTGAGATTAAAGTAAGACAAATTTAACCAGATTAATTGTTTTGACATATCTCTGAAAAGTACAGGCTAGTTGATTGATTTTTAATCGACTTGTGCTAACCGGGATTCATGGTTAGCACAGTTCAGTTTTAGACTCTACGGAACTGCTTTTTTCATACTGTTTTCTGTAGCAAAAATAAATGTCAAAGATCAAAACACAATTATTTGCAGGAATATGCAAAACTATACATCTCATCAGCATAATATCGAAGGATAATCTCAGATCACAAGAGCTGTACGCTCTATCTTAAGAATGAGAAATAGAGCAAGAATATTTTCAATCAAAATCTCAATTTTCATCGTTTGAAGGAGGAAGATAAAGGAAAAGATTAACATCAAAAATCATGAAAACAGTTGACATAAAAGCATAAACTTTATGATTATTAAAGGGAACAAAAAAAGTTTTATGCTGCAGCATTCTAAATACGTACACAACATTATACATCTTATAATGACAATGACAATAATGGTTTGATGATCCATTAAGTAAACATTATTATCTATGTTTTATCGTCATCACATCCGAGAATATCATGGTTGTATCTATTCATACATTCATTTACCATACATCTAATAATAATAATAATACTCCCTCTGATAAATATGATGATGAAACCATCAAGCGTTGAAATGATGCTTTATGATGACTTAAATTGTTTTCTCTTTTTTTACATTTCATCATCATTTCCACACTTTTATGAGTTACTGTGTGGATCAAAAGAGGGTAATGCACTTGAGAGATGTTAAAGGTGTTGAAATTTAAAGTAATGGGGGTCAAAATTGTTTGAATGCTGTTGATGAGTTGGTCAATTTGGGTTTGAAGGGATTTGGGTATTCAGTATGAGGAATGTGTGTCGTTGGTGATGTGCTGAAGGATATATTATCAAGCAGAACAAGATAGACACTTTAGAGGTCATGGGTTTGAGTCATGGGCGAAGCTAGTCGACCAAACTTAACACATTGTCCTTAAATCGACAAAGCAAGCTCAAATGGAGCTCCTATTTGCTAGTAAACTACACTGCTGACCGCATTTGATGTCAATATATGTTCCCGTTCTTTTCTAAGCCCTAGAAATGACTGGTTCCTTTGGAATTTCAGTAATGTCTAGTTCTGCTACTTAATCGATGTTTCAAAGTGAAGTAGCCTAGCTAAGTTTTCAAATAGGTGAGCTTGTAGTGTCTACAAAGAACAGCAGTCTGTCCTCCACCTCAATCTAGAGTAACAAGACACCATGCATCATTAATTTCCCATCCCTTGACTTCTTCCTTATCATCACAAAAAATAAGAAACATTCTTTCCTGAAAAGATTTTCTTCCTTTCCTTAAATGAAGATGACATTTCATCATCTTTATCTACATCATTTTCCTTTTAATGTATTTTTATTTATGATGAAGCAATAAAATGTCTTAAAAGATTTCTCTTGAATTTTATTTTATCGCTTCATTTTCTGTCTCATTTTTAAATGCGAATAAAAAGAGCACATTAAATGCTTTTTTAAATTTGATATGCTTAAGATTTTTTTTTCTTTTTAAAAATTGTTGATCAAAGGAAATTTATGGGATTATTGTTCGAGCTTTTATTCAGACAAATTATTTTAATGGGGGCTTTAAAAATGTTTTGCGACTTGAATAGCTTGACTTTGAATAAATTTGTTTATTGTGAATACTTGAAGTGAAGGTGTATGATTGGTTTTTGGAACTTGGAGCTAAAATTACATTTTGTGTTCCTTTTAGTAATGTTTGTGTGTTCGAATCCTTAAATTTATTCTCCTCAAACTTTAGACACCGAGTCAGTGTCTATGATCATTTGAGCTTTTGTTCTAGATATCCTCCTATGTTGCACTTTTAAGCTTTGTTATGCCTAGAAGTATGGCATGATATCAGTAAAGAATTACTGGAACTGATGTGTTGAAATGGTCACAAAGAGTCCTATTTATCCCAAGCCAGGACTTACCTACCTTGGGTCTACTCCTCTTCTAGCAGTTCATTAACTTACTTCCTTCCTTTCCCGGGTGGACACAGCCAGTTAAAGTCCATTATTGGACAATCATTTAACAGTCTTTTAACTTGTCGAAATATACAAGACATAGAGAACTATACGTTAACTAGACTTTAACTGGACATTCATGCTAATCAATCAAGCGTTCGAAACTCAAAAATAATTTTCCTTACTTTTTTGACCATATACTTCACAAGCGCTTACAGAAATCACTTATATAAGGTCCACCAAAATTTGTATGAAACTTTTAAGTAAATATAATTGTTTCACGCGCAAGTGTTCGAGACTCAAATTTTACTAGAGATTTTTCATAAGTGATAGTGTACTTTAATTAATTAATTACACTAATACAATAATAAAATTTTACAAAAGAAAAAAATATGGAGAAAAAGACACGTGTTATTTATTTTATTTCGATTTTTTTGTAACCTGACATTAACTAGACGTATGTGCAATTCCTACGTCCAGTTAAATGGAAAGCGCAAAATATGTCATTAGTCGTCCCTAAGTCTAGTTGCAAAGGCAAGTCAATGGATACTTACTCGCCGTGAAAAGGCAAGTCAATGGCAAGCTTTTAACTAGTACTTTGTCCACTCGGGTTTCTTGACTAAGGCGCTCGTGGGCGCATTGCTGCGCTTAAAGATCGTCTGAAGACAGTTCTATCCTTCTGCCAGATCGGGATATTAAGGACTCTAGCGTCCTTTTCAACACATTCAATCCATGTATTCTTTGGTCTTCCTCGTGATCTCTTGCCATCCATAAAGTCTGCTACTGTCACTTTTAATACTCAGGCATCTTGTGAGCGTCTGAACACATGTCCAGCCCATCTCAAGTGATTTACACAGTTCATTCAAATTAAACTTGTTTCAAATTAAACTTGTTCATTAAACAATATAAAGCTTCCGTGACATTGTTATCTTGAGCCTATTTGACTGCAAATAATGAATATTCCCATTCAGAAGTATTTTTGAAAGTGCCTTTAAGTTGTCCTATATTTAAAGAAAATTTTTCATAAAATACACAAAAATAATCCGGTTATCTTCACAGCAAAATCGTCTTAAATATTAAATCAACCAAAAAAACCTTTTTAAAATAAAAATATTCTCCTTTACCTTTCTTACCAAAAATTTAATTTCCATCTCCATTTTATATTCAAGATTTACTTATGCAATAGTTCATAGCATATTGTACACCAAGCACTTACCATTGCGTTGAGGGCCATCTTAAGAAAAGAACATAAAATACATTAAAACAGCTGAAAAAGGAGAGAATTTTCATCAAGCAAAAGGAATTATGCAAAAAGCTAAAGGAAACTACACGTTGACACAACTGGCAACGGATGCACGAGAAGGAAGAGACGAAAAAGGATCAGATGAGAAAATACACACAGTTGGTGTGCTTTTGATAGGATTACACAGTATAAAATAACATTCAAGCTGTGATTTGGATTTTTTTTTCTTATTCTACATACATTTTGGCAGGGTTGGGTAGCTTGGATTGGATGGACTAGCTTAGATTGTAGCTGAACTATTGTGATAGTGGATTGTGACTTGAATTTTTAATGTTTTTGGTGTCTAGATCCACGTTGATCTATAATTTACAAAAATCTAAAGAGTTCTGTGTAACTTGAGATAAGTCTGAAGCATAGTTGGTAATGTGTTTTGGAGTAAATCCAACTTTTTTCGACCTCATCCTACTCATACTTAAAACCAGTGTAGAAATCGCCGTTAAATATGGAAACGGACAAAATTAGCGTTGACCTTAATATAAGTCATGTTTGGAACCGAAAACCAAGATATAGTAACAATTTTGTCATGTTTGGAACTGAAAACCAAGATTCGGTAGCAGTCTGATCATATACTGAACCAGCATCGAAGAACAAGCAACAGTTTAATCATGTCCTGAGTCAAAAACAAAGATCCATTAGAATTTTGGTTATGTTTGAAACCAAAAACAAAGATCCAGTCAGATATAAGTAGGTCTGGAACTAATAATTAAGATCCAGTGTCATAAAATTAATTAAAAGCTATCTAATGCAAAAAACCAGAAATCTCTAAGTGCTTCAAGTTTCCAGCAGTCGTGGTATCCAGCCAAAGTGGACCTAGAAGTGCATTGTTTCATTCTTATATCAAATCAACAACCCTGAATTTCTCCTTTTGCTACCGCCACACCACCGCCATAATCCTTTTCTTTATTTTTTTTTATTTTCAGCAATATTTCCACTTCAAACGGAAATTTATGATGCAAGTCAAACAATAGAATTGGAAAAAAAAGTTCCTTTTTTGTGTCTCACTGTGTATTAAAATATATGCGACACATTTTTCGAGGATTTCGCATCTACGTCAGATTTAAAACAAGCAATA